TCCCCCCTCCCCCCCCTCCTCCTCCTCCACTCCCCACCCCGGTGGCCGGCCCCAGGGCGCCAGCAGCCACTCCCTGGTCATCATCGACGAGCTGGGTCGCGGCACCTCCACCTACGACGGCTTCGGACTGGCCTGGGCCATCAGCGAGCACCTCGCCGGTCCGGATGTGGGGGCGCCCACCCTGTTCGCCACACACTTCCATGAGCTGACGGAGCTCAAGGCGGCAGTGGGGGTCAAGAACATGCAGGTTCGGGGGTTGGACGGCGGGTTGGACGGCGGCTTGGCGGGGAAGTGGAGACGGGCAATGGCCGTTGGGGGAGTTCAATATTTTACCCACTTACCCACCGAACCACCCAATCTCCTCCTCCTCTACCTCCTCCCTGAAACCCCCCTCTACTATTCACTGCCCTGCCCTGCTCGTCTCTCTACCACCCAACCACCAAACCGCCCACTCATCGGTCCACCTGGGTTTCCCCTGTTTGGCCAAACCCGCCATTCCTTACATTATCCTATCTCCCCCCCTCCTCACTTCCCCGGGCCTCCAACATTACGTACGCACATGTACACGCGCATGCAGGCCACCGCAATCATCGACCCCGCCACCCAGCGTCTAACCATGTTGTATCGCATCGGGGAGGGGGCGTGTGATCAGTCGTTCGGGGTGCATGTGGCGGAGAGTGCGGGCTTCCCGCCGCAGGTGAGGGCTGTGGGGGGCAGGGGGAGGGCAGAGGAGGGCAGGGCAGGGCAGGGCAGGGCAGGGCAGGGCAGGGCAGGGCAGGGCAGGGCAGGGCAGGGCAGGGCAGGGCAGGGCAGGGCAGGGCAGGGCAGGGCAGGGCAGGGCAGGGCAGGGCAGGGCAGGGCAGGGCAGGGCAGGGCAGGGCAGATGACTGCTGGTGCCGCAGCAACCCCGATTCCTACCATGAGCTTGTATTTGAAGTGGGAGGGACGGTCATAAAGTAAGACGAAATGAGACTTCTTCCCCCTTGCTCCCCCTTCAACTCTTCAAGTCCATCTATATTTCCTGACAAGCTATCCACATGGACACTGACTGTCCGTCTGTCTGTTTGTCTGTCGCGCTCGTTTGCAGGTCATCGCGATGGCCAATCAGCGCCTCAAGCAGTTGGAAGCGGGGCAAGCCAGGGTGAGATACGGCATGGGGAACGGAGGTTCGGTATGTACGTACGTACGTATGTATGTATGTATTTGTGTAGAGGACATGGCTGTGTACGGACCGGCTAACCTCGCAGTACAGAACCTTACATTGCTGTAATGCTATTTATGGCGGTGGACCCCGACACAACCGCGCTTACCAGCCGCATCCGCACAGCTCCACCCGTTTTACACCCACTACCAGGCGGCCACACGCTGTATTTACCTTCTCCCCTCCCCCCCCCCGACATACACATGCACCCCAACTCTCGCCTTTAAATTACGGGTATTACTCACTCCCCGCAGTTGCACGTCCCTGCCGCCAAGCGGCTGCGGACGGAGGGTGGTGGCGCACCGGGCCCGCATCACAATGATGATGAGGCGGCTGCAGCTGCGGACGTCGCGGAGCTGCAGGTTGGTGGTGGTGGTGGGGGTGAGGGGGAAAGGAGGAGGGCCGGGGGTGGTGGTGGCGCGGAACTGTAGCCTGCCTGCCTGCAGTTCTTCGGGCGGGGCTGTTGAGTTGTGGTGTGTAGGTGTTTTGCTGTTGGCTGTGGGAGCTGATAGGCCTGTGTAGTCCTCCTGTGTCACCTCCTAACACTCCGTGACGGCGCGACTGGCCCCCCTTCCTGCTGGTGGCGGATAGCTGTGTGCTTGGTTCTTCCCTCGCATTGTTCCATTACCTGGAGGCCATAGCCCCCTTAAGCTCCACCGCATACACATACACACATACATACATGCATACATACATCTCATCCCGCATCCGGCGCACCCGTCAGCTCTCTTTCGCCCTCATCCATGCCAAGAAACCCAACCCCTCCTCCATGTTTCCTGCGTCTTACGTATCGGCTTCCATGATGCCGGTTGATGGCCCGCTCCTTAGGGAATTTTAGATCCATCCGAAAGCGAGTATGTATGTATGTCCGGATATGCGGCGCTGCTCCCGCGCGGCTACACAGCTGAACTCGCGCCTTGGGCCCTTTCTTTGCACCGCTATACAACGCACTGCTCCCCGCCGCATGATCTACCCCCGATGCGGCCCTTCCTCATCCGCCCCTCAGCCCCTCAGCCCCTCAGCCCCTCAGCCCCTCAGCCCCCTCCTACCCTCCTACCCGCCTCCCGCCCGACTACAGTCGTTCCTGCGCCGCTTCTCAAGCCTCCCGCTGGACGGCATGTCCCCGGAAGACGCTGTGACGGCCGTGGACCACCTGCTCACTGCGCTCCCACAGCGACTGATGACTGCTGTGGCCATGTAACGCATGTGCATATGTATGTGCGCATGTGAACACATGTGCCTCTGGGGCATGCTGTTTGCCCCGAGCCACATACTGTCCTTGTGAATGCGTGCGTGTGTGCAAGTGTGTGTGTGTGTGCATATGACACGTGCACGTGTGCCCCGCTGTCCCTGGGTTAGTCCCTTTGACGTTTCATGGAAATCTTAATCTTAGAGTTGGGTTATGTTGGATTGGGTTGGGTGGGCCGGCGACAAGCGGGGGGAAAGGGAAGCAGATGGGGGGTTGCTGGGGGTGATGTGTGTGTGGGAGAGTGATGATGTGTTTCTGTAGGGGGGAAGTGGGGAGGGGAGAATGCACAAATGCACAACCACGCATGCCGTTCCGACCCCGGTGGGCCCCCGTGCTCTAACACGAACACACAACGACCCGAGCTGTTTGCCGGTAAGATTCGTCGGTTAGACGGTTAGACGGTTAACTGTCCCATTGCCATTCAGACCTCGCATCCGGGATCCTTGTCCTCTATGGTGGGGTAGAGGGCACGCGCGGGATGGAGGGAAGTGATGCGGCAAACCCGCACATGGAGGTGACCCTGGTTAAGACAAAAGAACCAGACGGCCCTTAGCTATCCGGAAGACGGAATTTCGCACCGGGTGTATGTCGGACTGACTCCAACTTGTCCGTGTCTGATTTGCTGTAAGGAAAGAAGGGGAATCGCCGTTACATTCCTGTTCTCCGTTTCCGTGCGGTTGATGCGTGCGGTGCCCCTTACAATGATGTTCAGCAAGGCAGCTCATGATCATCCGGTTGGGGCTCATCTTGGATGACCAACTAACAACTACCTGGATGATAACTACCTGGAAGGTCATTAGACGTCCTCACGCGAAGGACTTGGTTGAAGTGATGTATGGGTGCCGCAACGCATTTCGAAGACACTAATGTATGTGCTGTATGTGCTGCATCACCGGTTGAGAATCCACGCACTCCTTCCTGTTGTGTGCCCCTCACCCGGGCAGGCAGGGGGGATGGTTAGCCGCGTGGACATCAAATAACATCCGAATGTAACCGTCCAGGAGAAGAGCACATGCAGCCGTGGGTTGTGGGCGTCTCGACGGCGTGGCGGTACTCCCCACGCCGCCGCCATTCACCATCCATCCCGTGCAATCCCGTTTGAAACGACCGTTTAAGACCTGTACGCGGATGTCGCGTCTGCCTCCGATGTACACGGATGCCGAGGCGGCGGAGTCCGAAGAGGGCCGTTTTCCCGGTTCCCAAGAAGGTGAAACCTATCCACTTGTCCTCTCCCGTTCTGAAGGGATGTACACCGATACCGATAGCGACAGCGATAGCGAGGTACATTGTGGATGGGTATCGTTTTCAACTTTCGTTTTCAACAGATCTGAACGACCTGGTGGAGGCGAGGCGAGTGCCACAGCAGCGAAACGAGTGATATACATATGGCATGTGGCGTGTTGTAGTTTTTGTTACAGAGTGCGCCGTTTGCACACATTTGCATGGTCACATCCAGGATTGAACACCCTACAGCACCATCGCACCATGCAGCACCATCCACCATTACCGCACTGTACTACGCCATACGAACTGCAAGTGCAAGGCGGTCGATTCTGCCTCCTAAAATCCCTCCTCCTTTCACCCGAACATTCACCACCAATTCATCGTGCGAATATTAGTCCATCAGCTGTGACCTCAACGCCACATCTCAGTACCTAGCCGTAATCTCATGTTCTCGACAGCGTCGGGGTCTACCCAGGAATCGAACTTAGGATCTTAAACCGCCCGTGCCGTGTGGCACGTTGTATTGTAGCATTGGCATGTAGTATTGTGGCATGTAGTATTGTGGCATGTAGTATTGTGGCATGCCACGTCGACGTGCTAGGCGAAGACGCACGTAAACATGAAGTTTTCTTGAGTAGTTGCCGTACCGCTTAGGGGTCGTACAGACGGAGGGGTACCTGCAGCAGGAAAGTTGTGCTTGCTCCGGGGGAGGGGGCGAGGCGGCCTGCTGGTTACTGAAAGTCGTTAACAAGAAGCCTACAGTCGTTGCACCAATGGCAACCACACGCAAGCGACGTGCAGACATGCATACAATACAATACAATACATGCATACACGCGTAAGATCTACCAGCTCAACCGCTGATGGTGTCGCGGCCTACGACATTTTGGTGCATGCAACTTAGCATGTGTGTGGAACACCGGCGAATGGCAATAGTGCACATACCTGCGTAAATTTGTGACCCATGGGCCACGACATTTCAGGCAGAATTTAACTCACTTATTCTCGAAAGTGCTTAACAAATGAATACGCGCAGCTTTATATCTTGGACGCTAATGTTCCACGTCCAAGGGGCCTGGGAAATGGTTGGTCGCGTAAAGCGCTGTTGTGTGTGTGTGGTGGTTACAGTGGGCTCCAGACTCACGAAGAGTAGAGCCATCGGGCCAGCTGGCCGTGCACTGCACTAGAGACTAATATGTCACTCAGGATTGTGAGTGACTCTTTGTATGTTTTCGGCAGGCAATCTGCTGCAAGCTTTTGAGCTGGGCTTGCACCCAAGCCCTTCTAATCACGACGCTTGATGAGCAGCATGTTTCCGACTACAGTCTCGGTGACCACTGGACTGCAGTCCTTATGGTCCAGGGCGTCAATTGCTACCTGTAACACTAGCTTTTTAGCGACAGAATTGTCAGGCATGGGAGGCACACTGACTCGCATGAAGCGTGTGTACATACGTGCCCCATCAGCTCCAGGACAACGGCCACTTGAATCGGCCCCTGAGAACATGAACGCCATGACAAGTTACAATTTGAGATACGTACGGCACACACATGCTCCAAAAGCGTTACAAGGCAGCAGGCTCATACCGACGTGTTGGTTGTACCCCACATGCGTACCGGATTCAAGGGTCCCCGAAGATGTTTCAACGCCGCCATCATCATTGAATTGCACTGGCTGAGCACCATACATAACGTCGGCGTCACCGTTTGCATTAGGATCGATGCCCACATCGTCGCTCATTATCTGTTCTTCTCCTGACAGGTTGTGCTGTACGGCGCCACTGCCAGTCACCGCGTCACCGCCGACGTTGAAGTCAGAATCTGAGACAAATGGGTCATCGCTGAGTTGAGGATGTGGATGGCGGTGTCGTTTATCAAGACTTGGTCCTGCAGCATCGGTTACAGCGACAGCTGCTGTTGCGGCCGCAGCAGCTGTCGCTACTGCGGCAACAACTGTCGCGACGGGTGCTGGTGCCGACCCAGCTATATCTTCACCATCTGAAGATCTTTCCATGATAGAAATCGTTTCGTTAACAGGGCTTCCATGGTTAGAGGAAGTTGATGGAATAGGTGACGCAGACGTTTCTGAGGAACTTTCCAAACCACTACTTATAGTTTCAGATGAGATTCAGGTACCGTATCTGTAGACACCGAGTAGCAAGCGACGACCAGAAGAGCAAACACGGAAACTTTCTTTATACTTTAAGTATAAAGACAGTGAACCGTCGCGGCGACATTTTCATTTACGTCATAGGTAACATATAATGTTAAGTAATTAGGATGTAACACGCCTGCTTGGTTCTTGCCCTCTTAGGGTTTTATATGGATGCCGTACACTTTTCCGTTCTTACGGTCGTTACCTAGGTATGAGGTGCAGCATACGTTTACAATAGTTCTCCTTGTGTTATGTCGCAGATTACTGGAAGGGAACTGGCTCCAGTCTGCTCCAGTTGGCGACTGGAGGAAGCATTAGTTCCCAACTTTCCCGATCTGCAGAGCCCGACATCAGAAGCTGGCTGAGAGACAAGGAAGAGAAGATTACTAAGCTTACAAATATGGTGTAGGGATGCCTTAAATAGTCTGACAAACAGGGTGTTTCCTAAGTTCAAAAAATCTCACGCCTGGCTCAGCAAATCATGCAAGCGATAAGAAACTAGTTTAAATACATTAATAGAAAGTAAAAGCTCTTTAAAAAATCGCGTAAAGGGACTCCGTACGCGAAAAGCCGAAGGGCCCAGTGCGTACGCCTCGGACACTAAGTCCGCATTAGTGGCACACTAGTTATCAGGGCCTCAGACCTGCTGATAACTTTCAAAGTGGACATTAGCTTCTGAGCGGGAAGATTCATAGTCCGCCATTTTCCTTCCTCAAGGTTCTACGCTGGCTTTTGTATTTTCCTTTATCCACAGCCGCAAAGTTGCGGCTATTTAAATAGCGGGCTACCGTAGTTACAGGAAATGTTCGTGTTTTTAAATTCGCGACGGCATTACGAAATTATGTCACATATAAATTACAAGCTGTTCCAGGCGATGGTCGTTACGAATATATGTGTGCTCCGAAGCCAAATCGTACAATGCCTTCAACACAGTATTTACTCGTCGAATTCCATTTAACTGGCCACATATACATCCATAGTAACTGAACGGACATGCATCCGAGGGCCGAGCGGCCTAAGCAACAAAGCCCTCTCAATGCGGACTCTTCACACTTGCTCGCGGCGCCCCAGCTACGGATAGAGCTGGTTTTGCCGCTCCTGCATTGGCAGCCGATGTGCTTGAAGCCCGACTTTGGCCAGCTATTCCGTCAATCGGCGTTCTGAGTCGGACCCATTTACGAACATTGCAGGCACCGTTGCTTCGGTTGCGTTGGCTTCTTACGAATTCAAAAGTTCCACCAATATTTTCGGGTGTAATTTTGAGGGTATCTCGAACAATAAAAAGACGAACATTTCCTGTCACTATGGTATTTATATAGCGGGCTATTTAAATAGCCCGCTAACCAGTGGAATTCACAGCAGGACCGGCCGAATTGCCCACATTCCAGCAATTAGCCGACAAAACTGTAATGATTTGCGCATTAAATTACACCCACTCTTACTATAACAATGGTTTGGTGCCTTTAAACCAACCTGTCGTATGGATCCGGGGCGCTTAGTGGAAACACCTGTCCACTAGCCGCACACTAAGTCCACATTAAAGATAATGTTCTAAAGTTAGTGTGCGGCCAAGTGGAAACGCCCTGAAAGCCATACACGACACAGAGTCGTACTGATCAAAGCCAATCCATACCTACTCGGTAACGAACACAAACCCCTTACATTACTTTGATAGGGTATTATAAAGAGTGGTTACGTGTACGTAGCTTAGCTATACAATTTGCAACTACTTGAAGCCGCCGACCTTTTCACGTGTGCACACTCCGTGCTCATGGATGTTTTAGAAGACTACGTTTCTCCTCCATCTCTCCCTAGGCCTCTTGACGGCAGCCCGGACGTTACGGCGGTGGCCCGCGCCAATGGCATCAGTGGTTTAGTCGCCCACAAACTTAGGAACTATTTACGGCAGAAGGCTCTGAAGATGGACGCGTTCATTGCGGAATTAGTGAAGGCGTCCGAGTACTTCGGCGCCAAGCACGTGCAAGAGGCGCTGATGACCACGCTTGGCATCGACGCCTTGGAGTCGAGCACACTCGTTCGTGTTCTTGTCCCCAAGGACATCAACAAGCGCCGGAACAGGTAAGGAATAAGGGTATGCAGAACGGGGGGCAACAGGTTAAGCGTTTGATAAAGAAAGGTAACGGATACCCTAGGGGTTTCACACATGTACTCTCAGTATGCGCTGGTCAGTATGCGCTGGCTATCTTGTGATGCTCTGCAACTCTGTCACGATGTTCTTTCAACACTTCATTCCGTTCTCACTGACATGTCATGCAGTAACGCCTCATCTGGAAGTGAGCCTTCCACAACCAGGCAAGCGCCCACGTCCTTGTCCTCCACCATACCATTGAAGTACCAGGTGGTCGTTAAGAAGGTTTCGAAGCCCGACGCCATCAAGATCAACAAGTGGTACACGTGCGGGTAGGTACAACATAGATAGATGTAGTAGACATGGGCACTTTTTTGAGCAAGATCACATAACACCAGCACATGTTCAGGTTCCTTATCATTGGGGTTAAATGGGACACCCTGTCGTCCGCACTGGCGAAGAAGGACAAGGTTAAGGTGAAGGAGACAACCGACATCGTTGACCTTCGGTACTTGGGGAAGCAGTGGATGGCGGCGCTCTTCCGGTCACTGACTGGAGACAGCCTCTCGAAGGTTCAGCAGACAGACAAGGCTATGTACGACGCTGTCTATGACGCCTTGAAGGCGAAGCTGCAAAACGCGATGGCAAACCACCAGTCAGGTAGAAAGGGTGAAGTTTCCGAAACCAAACAATATTCAAACAAAGTGTGCGTTACACCTCACACTCCCACAGTGCTGACCTTTACGTTAGTTTGAGTAACCCATGTTTCGGATGCCGATGCATGCAGAGAAGAAGAAGTCGGACTTCTTCAAGGCCATCGGACTGATGCCTGCAGACAAGGCTCAGCTCGAGAGCGTGACGACCTTGGACACCATCCGTGCAACCTCCCTCTTCAAGAAGTGGGTGACTGACCATGTCGAGGTCAGCACTCAGCCAGCAGGTAATGCATGCTAAGAAGGAAACGTAGGCGTTTCCTCAACCTTAAGACGACCTCAACCTCACTTGCAATCTCTGCCTCCCTGTTCTCTTTTGCAGGTCAGGAACGCAAGAAGAGCAACCTGACGGCTGCAACGGAGGGTAAGTGAACACCACTGCTCAGTAAAAACCTAAATACCCACGCATTGTTACTAAGATCAGTCATGAAGGTCATGTACATTACCTACTTGAAACTTCCCTTTCATGCAATACATCATGTTGCTTGTATCCCTCCCTAACTTCACAACTAAATGTACAACCCCCCAGGCCAGGCCGACATGATGGAGATGCAGCAGGAGCCCCTCGGCCAGAAGAGCAGCCGCCAGGATAGGGATGAGGGAGATGATGGGGACTTGGGCGGGGAGGACGAGGGCGAGGGTGGGGAGGATGAGGGTGGGGAGTACAGGGGCTGGCCATACGAGGGCGGGGATTACATGGGTGGGGAGGAAGCGGACTGGGGGGACGAGGGAGGGGAGGACGAGGGAGGGGAGGATGGCGAGGGGACGGGGGGCAAAGTCCTGCTCAAGGAGTACGGCAGAACCAAGAGCCAGAAGGAGAGCAAGTTCGTGCCTCAACCAACTGGACACCGCAAGGTCCCGGTGAACAGAGAGCATGAGAAAGGTAAATTGTGTCTTCAACAAGACAATAAATTCCGACTACACACGAAACTTACTAACAACAAGGCAATAAATTCCGACTACACACGAAACTTACTAACAGCAAGGCAATAAATTCCGACTACACATGAAACTTACTTTCTGAATCTCTCTCCCTTATCGTAGGGGCATTGGATGCCAGGGGGCGGTCCACGTGCATGAGGCAACCTTCGGCTAAGGCTCGGGAGAGTCAAGAAGCTGTGGCCATGGTGGCGCCTGCTCGCATCAAGCGTCCACGCAAGGAAACCCCACCAGTGTTGCCGGAGGACCCCTCGGCTTTTGGGCCTGTAGCGGCCGCGCCGCGGCAGGCGGCACCCAGCAGCAGCCCAAGAATTTTGCGTTTGGGGGAACCGCTGGATGGACACACCGGGGCGCCCAGGATCGTTTAGAGAAAGGAATTGATACCAGTAGATTGTTTTAAGTGAGATAGGATTGAGATTTGTGTGCGCGAGTGGAAGCAGAATCAGAGTTTTGTTTTGAGACCATAGGCCCAGGTGTGGTTGTGGGCCTGATGTGAGCAGAGTTTTACTGCCTCTTGGCCACTAGGCCCACTGTCGGGTTGGAACCTAGCCGGTTGTGACAAGATAAAATGGGTGGGAGTCATCCAGTAACAAACTGCCTTGGCCGGTGCGTCCTGCTACCGTGCGCGGGAGTTGTATGATTGGAATATCCCTTAGAAAACATTGGTCAGGCCGCGCCTTATATATGGCAAACGCACCCGCCATTCGTACAACTGTCGTATGGTCAACATAAGACGCAGCTACCCTTTTCGTGCAGCAACTGCTTCATTACGCAACGGTAACTACCAGTTTACGCAGCTCCGGGCCAGGTTCATGGCGGCCAACGGAAACTGAGAAGAAACTAGTACAAGATATTTGTCATAGAACATTTCTCAGACCGAAGCTAGATCGTAAGACACAAACCGCCTGCTTTTACGTCGCGAGATCGAAACCTACATTCGTCAGTCTTTATGCGGTGCGCCGTAAGCATATGACCGTTCTCAACGCGTTTATAGTTTCTATTTAATGATATGGCAATATTCGGCCTCGTGCTATGCCCGGAACAATACGCAACCAAAGCCGTCAAACTCAGTTCTCTATGACCGGCTGGAAGTCGCTACAGGGCCACAGCGTTTAACCACGCAAAGAGCAAGGAGTCGTTTGGTGTCAGTAACAGCAGAGGTGTACAAACCCGCGGGGCTAAGGTGCAGCAGGAGAAGGGCAAGAAGGGAGCCATGGCAGAGATTCGGAAGGGGGGGCCAAAGAAGCAGCGGAGGTAGCAGACCACGGGCAGTGCTCAGGAACATGGGGGGCGCCTCAAAGTAGCAGGCCATGGGTAATGCTGAGTAAAGAAGGGCCTCTAGTCCTCGTGGTACCTATGAGAGATGTGAGCAGGTTGTAGTAGGCCATGGGCAATGCTCTGTGTACGAGGGAGTCTGCCATTCGAAGTGCATATGAGAGCTGACAGCAGGGGTTGATGGTGTGACCTGTACCGTCGTATGCTGTCCGTTAACATGCTGTTTGTGCTGTCACACCATCAACGGGTTCATGTTATCCCGTTAACGGCATGTTAACGGGATAATATGAACCCGTTATTGAGCTGGTAATCGCTGTTTAATGAGCCATTTGCGCAAGAGTTTGGTCGGTTATCGACCTGATAATCTCTATGTTATTGCCCCATTACCGAGGACATTCTTGTAACTGGTCGCGTGATAAACGACCTGGTAAATACCCGGTAGCGGTGCCTGATTACCGGCCCGGTAACGGCCTTTTTTTGTAACTGACCGATTACCGACCCTAGCCAGTTAACGACCCAGTAACCTTACAGCCTGGTAACCGAGGCCGGTTATTACTCGTTCCCATTATTGGGTCAATAACATGCGGTAGGGTCAGTAAACGACACATCACGACGTCGTTTATTCTCTTGCTTAGTCATTCGATCTTGTGCAGCCATCAATGCAGATTTAGCCTCTTGGCATACGTATCGACGTAGCCCTTGGCGGCGAGCACTGCATCACCCATCGAATCTCCACATACTCTTACAAAAAAAGTAGATGATGGATGTTTGATCAAATAACTATTAAGATCAAGCTTACTTGCCATATAATCCTCCGCAGGTGATGGAAACCCTGCTTGGACTTTATTATTGTATATTGGCAATAATACTGATTTTGTTGAGCAATAATCGTAGATGTCAGTTACTTGCATCGTTATTACCTATTAAACTACTTATTATCGTAAAGCTCAATATATGACGAAGTTCGAGTTGTACAGGGGTCTTAGGATGTTAGCCATAATTCAGGAATTTCCTGTCGAACGATTCTTCGAGTTATTATTCGCAAATTCATCAGGTATATCCAAGGTATATCTTCCACCGTCACAATATTTTCTCAGCGTCTCCAAGGACGCGATCGTCGAGTTAATCGCGATTAACTCGTTCTGCCTGCTCATCGCCTGCTTCACCTCTAGCTTCTTCATGAGAGAGGTCCAAAAAGCACCAGTAAACTTGGTATCACGATCTGAGATGATGGTGTATGGTAAACCGTGAAGCCGGGCCACGGTGTCAAAGAATAAATGAGCAGTCTCTTCTGCGTCTTGCATGGTCGTACATGCACCATCTTAGTCAGTCGGTCTACAAACACCACCAGGGAGTTGTATCCTTTCCTAGTCTAGTCGAGAGCAATCCGAGCACAAAGTCCATCGAGAAGCAGCTCCAAGGTCTTTCAGGAATCGTCATAGGTCGAGATAGACCCAGCGGTTTGCCTGAGGGAGCTTTATTACGCTGGCAGAAGTTGCAAAGTCTGCAACGTCAGCTTTCCGCATAGGCCACCAAAAATTCCGTTCTACCAATCAATGGTTCGATCTCGTCCAGGGTGTCCTGGCAAGATATCCGTGTGGCTTCGTTCAATAATCTCTCGTTTCAAGGCGGGGTCATTGGGCACCACGATGCGGTACTCGCACTCCCCCCTTTCTATCCGGAAGAACCCGAGAGGATTCGTCGCCCTGAACCGCATTGAATACCACGACAGATGCCAAGGAGGGATGGCGTGACAAAGCGTCGGCGACCACGTTCAATCGTCCTGGTCGGTAAATCCACTCAAAAGTGAATTGAGCCAGGAATTCAAGCCAACGGGCTTGTCTGCGGCTTACGTTCGAACTGAGCCTTAAGAAAGATCTGCGGATGGTGATCAATGACGAGGTTGAAGGTATGGAACTCTGTAAATAGCATCGCTATTCTCTCAAGGCGTTGATTACCCCAAGTAGCTCCTGTTCACCCGTACCGTAGTTCCGTTCAGTTGGGGGAAATTTCTAACTGGTAAAAGCGACCGGTCGGTCATTTTGCAGGAGTACTGCGCCAGTTCCGTTCAGCGAAGCATCTGAGATCAAACTTCGAAATGCTTCGTAATGCAACAGAAACGTCGTTCGATAGTCGAGCTTTGAGCGTCTCGAAGGCTCGTATGGCTTGTTCAGGCCATTCATCTGGTAATCTTTTCGCACTGAAGAGATCTGTCAGAGGTGCAGCAAGGGAACCAAAACCTGCGATAAATCGCCGGAAATAGTTCGCAATCCCAAACGAAAGATCGTAGTTCAGAAATGTCCTTTGGCAATGGCCAATTTCGAATAATCTCAACCTTCTTTGGATCCATGCGGATACCATCTGCGTTCACGACGTGTCCAAGACAGTCTTCCAAAAATCGCACTTGGAAAGTTTGACATGCAGTTGATTTTCCTCGAGGACCCTAAACATCGCCCTTAAATGCTCTTCCGGGGTCTTGAAAAAGATCAGAATGTCATCCAAGTAAAAAATGCGATTCGTCAGAGTCTGGGGGGTGCATGAGCGTTCGATAGGCCAAAAGCCACTTCCGAGATGGGTTGTGAACGCCGTCTTTGGGACATCTTCTGGTAAACCAAGGGCCGTGAAAATTGATGCACACCAGCTAGACGATCATGAGCATCATCAATCGGGGGCAAAGGGTATCGATTCTTGATGGTAATCTTGTTCAAGGCCATGTAATTAATACACATGCGTAGCTCTCCGGTTTTCTTAGTCACGAAGAGGATAGGAGCGCCGAAAGGCAAAGTCGAAGGACAAATAAATCCTTTTGCTAGCAGATCTTTGACTTGCTTCTCCACTTCCTCTTGTTTTTAGTGGCGAAAGTCGCGATTGGGGTTGGAAAGTCGGTTGGGCATTCGGTTCCAAAAGGATAGTGTGGTGAACACCTCTATCCGGCGGTAATCCTGTAATCGGTGCGAGGACTTTCCGAAAATTCATTGATAATCTCCACAAGGGATTCATTCTCAGCTATGTGTGGTTGCAGATCCACAGCATTAAGCGTTGGTGTGTCAATGAGCAGGGATGCGGTTTGCTTCACGACGACAAGCAACGGTCGACAGCCAGCTTCGTTCAAACCTTGGAAAGCTCTCTTCGTGAAACTATCTGAATTGTCTCAGGTCTGTCCTCAAGAAGCATGACTGGTGGTACATTGGAGACCGTTATGGGAGTTGGCGCATTCTCCAATCGTAACGTAACCGAGGGTCCCGTGGGTCGTCTCATATCAAGGAACCTTCCGTAGGTCTTCATCGTTGTGTTCCTGAACATTTCTCTAATGATTTTATGGTTCGTTGTTGCGATAGGATTTGTATGGACTGATTAATTGTTGGGCCTTACCGTACGAACCTGATCACCTAGTGCTATTTGTTCTCTGAAGCAGCAAAGCTTCTTCAGCTGACTGTAACAACTATTGCTCTTCGGGACCTTGGAGTGTCATTTAAGGTTAGGGCATAGTGTCAGCTCGCTTGTCCAGCTTGTGCTTAACTGGACCGTTTACCAGCTGTTACAGTAATTTGTAGCCTTTTGTAACGGTGAGCTGCATGAGACTTGGAGTTGTCTCTTTTGCGCCCCGTTTTGGCTCATTAGTCAGCGCTGGAGGCGCGACTATTTACTGTAGGTTATGAGCCCCGGCTTGTCGGGTCGGTGACTGATTTGCTTATTTTCTTTGGTTACCTTCTCGTCTCGAGGACAAGTCGGCGCACGTCGCCTTGGAGTTGCGACCGTTGGGAAGCTTGCACAGGATTACCATCGATAAGTCCATGATGATTGGAGATAAAGATACAGCAATGCAAGAAGGTGACGAGATGTCCACCAGGTGGTTTGACGGCCCGCAGGAGCAGGACAACATCTTGAAGGGAAACCTGCTATTTTCTTTGGCCCAGTTGCCAACGGCTTCGGGCGAAAGAGACAGGCATCTTTATGGGGGACATTCGGATTGCGCAGACGAGCTGCTTTATCACGTGTCGCCTGACTGATCAGGAAGGAACTTAAATCATGAAGGAGCCTTATATCTCTAGATCCTAGACGAGCGTGGGAATTGGGCTTCTTTGGAGAATGTGGGTGACGTCTTTGGCCTACACCTGCAGGGATTCGGAGGAAAACTTTACCTTCTGCTTTACGTGGTGCGCTGGTGCGCTTCATGGCTTGTGCGGCAGCTGCGGTCAGAGCTTTGCCCTGTGTGGGTTGCTGATGTTGCACTGGCATGCGTGGTTCTTTTTTGTACGAACTTTGTTTGCGGGTGACTCCGCTGTGAGTGCCCGGTGAGAGCACTTGGTCGGTTGGCAGCCGATGTTTGTCGTCTCAGGCTTTTGGTGGTCCTAGGTGGGCCTTGCGCTGAGCGATGGTAGCTGTGGCCCTTTGTGTGGAGCCATGATTGGTCCTGTGGCCGTGGGCATGCATTGCCCCGTGCTTTGGATGTGCTGTGAGTGCCCGGTGAGAGCACTTGGTCGGTTGGCAACCGATGTTTGTCGTCTCAGGCTTTTGGTGGTCCTAGGTGGGCCTTGCGCTGAGCGATGGTAGCTGTGGCCCTTTGTGTGGAGCCATGACTGGTCCTGTGGCCGTGGGCATGCATTGCCCCGTGCTTTGGATGTGCTGTGAGTGCCCGGTGAGAGCACTTGGTCGGTTGGCAACCGATGTTTGTCGTCTCAGGCTTTTGGTGGTCCTAGGTGGGCCTTGCGCTGAGCGATGGTAGCTGTGGCCCTTTGTGTGGAGCCATGATTTGTCCTGTGGCCGTGGGCATGCATTGCCCCGTGCTTTGGATGTGCTGTGAGTGCCCGGTGAGAGCACTTGGTCGGTTGGCAACCGATGTTTGTCGTCTCAGGCTTTTGGTGGTCCTAGGTGGGCCTTGCGCTGAGCGATGGTAGCTGTGGCCCTTTGTGTGGAGCCATGATTTGTCCTGTGGCCGTGGGCATGCATTGCCCCGTGCTTTGGATGTGCTGTGAGTGCCCGGTGAGAGCACTTGGTCGGTTGGCAACCGATGTTTGTCGTCTCAGGCTTTTGGTGGTCCTAGGTGGGCCTTGCGCTGAGCGATGGTAGCTGTGGCCCTTTGTGTGGAGCCATGACTGGTCCTGTGGCCGTGGGCATGCATTGCCCCGTGCTTTGGATGTGCTGTGAGTGCCCGGTGAGAGCACTTGGTCGGTTGGCAACCGATGTTTGTCGTCTCAGGCTTTTGGTGGTCCTAGGTGGGCCTTGCGCTGAGCGATGGTAGCTGTGGCCCTTTGTGTGGAGCCATGACTGGTCCTGTGGCCGTGGGCATGCATTGCCCCGTGCTTTGGATGTGCTGTGAGTGCCCGGTGAGAGCACTTGGTCGGTTGGCAACCGATGTTTGTCGTCTCAGGCTTTTGGTGGTCCTAGGTGGGCCTTGCGCTGAGCGATGGTAGCTGTGGCCCTTTGTGTGGAGCCATGACTGGTCCTGTGGCCGTGGGCATGCATTGCCCCGTGCTTTGGATGTGCTGTGAGTGCCCGGTGAGAGCACTTGGTCGGTTGGCAACCGATGTTTGTCGTCTCAGGCTTTTGGTGGTCCTAGGTGGGCCTTGCGCTGAGCGATGGTAGCTGTGGCCCTTTGTGTGGAGCCATGATTTGTCCTGTGGCCGTGGGCATGCATTGCCCCGTGCTTTGGATGTGCTGTGAGTGCCCGGTGAGAGCACTTGGTCGGTTGGCAACCGATGTTTGTCGTCTCAGGCTTTTGGTGGTCCTAGGTGGGCCTTGCGCTGAGCGATGGTAGCTGTGGCCCTTTGTGTGGAGCCATGACTGGTCCTGTGGCCGTGGGCATGCATTGCCCCGTGCTTTGGATGTGCTGTGAGTGCCCGGTGAGAGCACTTGGTCGGTTGGCAACCGATGTTTGTCGTCTCAGGCTTTTGGTGGTCCTAGGTGGGCCTTGCGCTGAGCGATGGTAGCTGTGGCCCTTTGTGTGGAGCCATGATTGGTCCTGTGGCCGTGGGCATGCATTGCCCCGTGCTTTGGATGTGCTGTGAGTGCCCGGTGAGAGCACTTGGTCGGTTGGCAACCGATGTTTGTCGTCCCAGGCTTTTGGTGGTCCTAGGTGGGCCTTGCGCTGAGCGATGGTAGCTGTGGCCCTTTGTGTGGAGCCATGATTTGTCCTGTGGCCGTGGGCATGCATTGCCCCGTGCTTTGGATGTGCTGTGAGTGCCCGGTGAGAGCACTTGGTCGGTTGGCAACCGATGTTTGTCGTCTCAGGCTTTTGGTGGTCCTAGGTGGGCCTTGCGCTGAGCGATGGTAGCTGTGGCCCTTTGTGTGGAGCCATGATTTGTCCTGTGGCCGTGGGCATGCATTGCCCCGTGCTTTGGATGTGCTGTGAGTGCCCGGTGAGAGCACTTGGTCGGTTGGCAACCGATGTTTGTCGTCTCAGGCTTTTGGTTGTCCTAGGTGGGCCTTGCGCTGAGCGATGGTTGTTGTGGCCCTTAATGAGGAGCCATGATTTGTCCTGTGGCCGTGGGCATGCATTGCCCCGTGCTTTGGATGTGCTGTGAGTGCCCGGTGAGAGCACTTGGTCGGTTGGCAACCGATGTTTGTCGTCTCAGGCTTTTGGTGGTCCTAGGTGGGCCTTGCGCTGAGCGATGGTAGCTGTGGCCCTTTGTGTGGAGCCATGATTTGTCCTGTGGCCGTGGGCATGCATTGCCCCGTGCTTTGGATGTGCTGTGAGTGCCCGGTGAGAGCACTTGGTCGGTTGGCAACCGATGTTTGTCGTCTCAGGCTTTTGATGGTCCTAGGTGGGCCTTGCGCTGAGCGATGGTAGCTGTGGCCCTTTGTGTGGAGCCATGATTTGTCCTGTGGCCGTGGGCATGCATTGCCCCGTGCTTTGGATGTGCTGTGAGTGCCCGGTGAGAGCACTTGGTCGGTTGGCAACCGATGTTTGTCGTCTCAGGCTTTTGGTGGTCCTAGGTGGGCCTTGCGCTGAGCGATGGTAGCTGTGGCCCTTTGTGTGGAGCCATGATTTGTCCTGTGGCCGTGGGCATGCATTGCCCCGTGCTTTGGATGTGCTGTGAGTGCCCGGTGAGAGCACTTGGTCGGTTGGCAACCGATGTTTGTCGTCTCAGGCTTTTGGTGGTCCTAGGTGGGCCTTGCGCTGAGCGATGGTAGCTGTGGCCCTTAGTGTGGAGCCATGATTGGTCCTGTGGCCGTGGGCATGCATTGCCCCGTGCTTTGGATGTGCTGTGAGTGCCCGGTGAGAGCACTTGGTCGGTTGGCAACCGATGTTTGTCGTCTCAGGCTTTTGGTTGTCCTAGGTGGGCCTTGCGCTGAGCGATGGTAGCTGTGGCCCTTTGTGTGGAGCCATGATTTGTCCTGTGGCCGTGGGCATGCATTGCCTCGTGCTTTGGATGTGCTGTGAGTGCCCGGTGAGAGCACTTGGTCGGTTGGCAGCCGATGTTTGTCGTCTCAGGCTTTTGGTGGTCCTAGGTGGGCCTTGCGCTGAGCGATGGTTGTTGTGGCGCTTAGTGAGGAGCCATGACTGTCCTGTGCCCGTGGGCATGAATTGCCTCGTGCTTTGGATGTGCTGTGAGTGCCCGGTGAGAGCACTTGGTCGGTTGGCAGCCGATGTTTGTCGTCTCAGGCTTTTGGTTGTCCTAGGTGGGCCTTGCGCTGAGCGATGGTTGTTGTGGCGCTTAATGAGGAGCCATGACTGTCCTGTGCCCGTGGGCATGAATTGCCTCGTGCTTTGGATGTGCTGTGAGTGCCCGGTGAGAGCACTTGGTCGGTTGGCAGCCGATATTTGTCGTCTCAGGCTTTTGGTTGTCCTAGGTGGGCCTTGCGCTGAGCGATGGTTGTACATATGTGTTGTGCATCCCACTATTTAGTATGGATGGTTATGGTTATAGATGCTTGAGGTATTGATTGTGGTTTTGAGTATCTTGTGGTGTAAGGAGGCTTCGCCTCAGGCTTTGGAGCTTGATGTCCTCTAGTATGCTGTTCAGACAGGCGGCATCTTGAGTAGTTGTAAGCTTTATGATGCGTCTTCGCTGATTGTTCGATTGATCCTTTGCGGCTCAGGAGTGAGTTGACGGTGATGACCATGTTTGGTAGCGGCAGATGAAGCGAAGGGATGTGAAAGGAAAAGAGTGCAGACGAGATCTTTGGTATGGCCCTGGTGCAATTCTGTAAGACTGAATGTTGCTGCTAGTTGCTGTCTTTCTGTTTGCCTGGTTAAGCTGTTCAACTATGTTGTCATTTGCAGCAAGATTGCAGAATACTTCTGCACGGTATCTTCCTGACCCACATCAGCAGACGTTTAAAGATCGGTAATATGAGAAAACGAACTTCGGCTCGAAGCCTTCCGATGCAAAGGCAAGTTTTGCATTCACCATCACGCACGCGTACGACGCGCCAGTAAGTCGTACCGGTGTGCAGGGTAATAGTTGTAAGGCTAATCCAAGTCAGTCTGCCAAAGCCTTAGCGATGAAACAGTGAGTTGCGCCTGAATGTATGCACATTGAAGTCTCACCGAGTCGTCCTGAAAACATATTTAAGTACGAATCTTTACTTGTCAAGCAGCAACCTGGATTAAATCCCTGTTGTGAAGGAGAAGGATCACACCATAGTTGCAAAGGTTCTGTCAAGGTAATGTGGTAATGTCCGGCCCTACTGTCCCTTTCCAGCGCTAAAGGTATCCTCCTCTAGCTGACTCGTTGCCACCCACGCAGTTGACCATCCCTCCGCAGCTTCATAAAGCTCACACAGCCGGGAGCCGCAAGCTAGAAAGCTGAAAAATCAACCGATCGGTCCCTACTTGGCATCACCCCGGCAGCCAAGCCATCCAACCAGCTAGCCATCCAACCAGCCAACTAGTAGATCAACCAAGCACATCATGACCATCGTCTATTTGGTTTTGCAACACGGCGGAAACGGCTGTCGCGGGGGCTCCCATCCACATGTGGCGTCCTGGTACATCCCAGTGGCACACTCTATCCGTCCTAGAGTGTAGGGCCCTAGGGCTGAAAGAGTGAAAGGCGGAAGGACAGCAGCACCCGTGCCGCGTGTGAGCTGCCGTATTCTTCTCCGGCCACCTGCAGGCTGCCCACCAGAGTTATAATACCGGGGAGAAGGTCTATTAAGGCAGGTGGAGGGGTGGAGGGGTTGTGGAAGGAAGGGCAGGGCAGAGCAGGGCGCCTGCTACGTTGCCGCCGGCTCATCTCCCGGTAGCCACGGGTTTGGACTCCTTGAGCATCACCATGCGGTCACGCTGAACACGAGGGTCTCCGCTGTGGAGTCTGGGTCCACTGCAAAGTAGCCCAACCGCTCAAACTGGAAGCGGTCGCCGCCTGCACGAGGGAAAAGAAGGGAGTGTTAGGAAGGTAAGGAAAATAAGCGCCAAGGGCAAATATATGATTGCCCCTCCGATTCCATGCCAAGCGGGGGCGTGCGTACAGCAGACCTGCAGGTTGTGTCGATGATCAAGCCAGAGGAAAATACCAGGACGATGGGAGAGCTCCAGGGAGGCCAGGCAAACGGAGCACCCAGCCAGCGGAACGCACGGATTTCTGCAGACGCCCATCCTTACGGTGGTTGAACAAAAAAGCAGCAAGATTGTACACAATGCTGCGGATGGCAGCTAAGACAAAAGAAAAAGGCTTTCAAATCCTTGGCCTCCAAGAGAGAAAAATTGATTTCTATGAGTACCAGTGCCGCCGCCGGCAGGCCATTTGGGAGAACTGCAAGGCTGATCCGCGTCTCCGCTTCCACAGCAGCGTCTCGGCAGGTCCCCCTTTATCCGCGGATCCGCAACATCCACCATCCCGGCTACCTTGGCACCCGCCAGCTGTGGTGTCATCACACAGCCGCTCAGCTTGACCAGGCTTTGCGGAGTAAGATCCTCGAGCCAGTTTTCCCTGGAACCTGGATCCTTGCGCTTAAGCAAGGTCTCGTACGACCTGCTGGACATCCGTAAAAGGCTAGATGGTTTCACCAGCCAGCCAAGCGATTGACAGCGGTTCTGGACAAAAACCCAAAATGCAGCAGAGCAGTGGTCCCGGTGGGCAATGCAGATCACCACAGCCTTACACACAGGAAAGCTGGACAGCAGGACACGTGTACGTGATGACTACGAACGGGTTAACATCACGTTCAGAAACGATTCTCTGTCGACGAAACCGTTCCAATCTCAGGTGGAGAGTACAGCGGAAACCGGTTCGTCCATCGACTGCGATGCAAGGTGTAAAGTGCTCGGCATTGTTGCGGGTGTGGGGAGAGGTTAGCATCCTCCTGAAGGAATCGGCCATTGGGCAACAGGAAATCTGTTTTTCCATCTTCGCACTTCTTCATCACGCAGTTGTCGTCCGGCCAAGCCCAGCCATCACCCCAAACATGCGCTCAACAGAACTCCGGACGATTTGGATTGCACACCGGGTTTCTTCAATCCTGAGCCCGAGGTCGTTCACGTTTCGCCCTAGTTCTCCATCCCTGAAAAGGAGTCATGCGTTGAGTGGACTCGCTGCTGGGCCCGGGCGAGCTTGCGGTAGCCTTGTAGGTGCTGTTTGCAGGTGATTCAGCACGGGTGCTGGCTCACGGCACTTCGAGGCGAACCCGTTGTGTGGGTGGACTACGGTGTGCCACTCAAATGCGAGCTGCCGGCAAGACGCAAAGCGAGAGGGCGTGCGTGGAGTCACCGGCACGGCATTGACCCGGGGGAAGTTGGAGGCGCCCGTTGACCCGGAGGCCGTGTGTGCATGTGCGGTTGCATAAAGGTGCCTCGGTGCAGCCCCGAGCTTCCCTTATGCAATACTGACCTGGTGTTTGTTCCATGTGGTTGGGATTGCCGGGGCAGTGCAATGCAGTGGCAGCAGGTAGGCAAGAGTATATTACATGAGGGTAACATAGCTGGTAGGGGTCGATGGAAATTCCGTCATTTCACGCACCGGGTGGTGCTCGAACGACCCCGTCATCAAAGTGAGTTGTTGCTGGCTGCGCAAGCACGACGGCGACATCGTTGGGGCGCCGCCGTCGGGCACCGAGACTGCATAAAGGTAAAATATTGGGTTTAAGGGCCACCGGGGCATTGAACAAGTCGTAAATACAGCTGTGTACTCCTGTCATTCGTGATTCTGCCTTCACTATCAGGAGCTCTGTTTGTGATGTGAAGGCACAGCTGCCAAACGCATATGTTTTGAGGTATACTTGTTGCGTGGAGGCGCGAAATTTCTCGTTCCGCTGTGAATAAAGTCTTCGTTGCTGACCCATGGGTCGCAGTCACAAGAGATCCACCTGGGTCCCAACCCAAGCAGCCACTTCTCAGAATTGCACGCTTTAAAGCCACGACAGCCGGCATAACTTGGCGAACAGCCGTAGAGTTCATTGCCTCTCTGCAAGAGAATGCTCAGCCAGTTAATAAATTGTTGAGGATTCAGCTTCCTTGGATGCTGTATGTATGTATGTTGTTACAGGGTGGTTAACTTCGCCAGCGGCCCCCTTTCCCGGGGCAGTCCCTGCTCTCCCCTGCTAGAGGGGCACCCTAATCCGTCACCCCATCCGACTTCAGAATGTATTCGTTGGGTTCGGCAACTCACCACCAGCATCCAACCAAATCTAGCGGATCAACGGCGCATTAACTTAGTTCCTGGTCAGCTCGCAAGTTGATATTATCACGTCCTACACCGTCCATAAGATGGGGGGCCACCTCCCATTTCATCACTCCTCAAACACCCGAGGAGCCGGCAGGCGGATTTGAACCCGGGTCGACTGGGTCGACTGGGAGCAGAAGTCAGGCCTTAACCTCTGCCAGCCGCCTGCCTGTATGTATGTATGCATGTATGTGCCCGACGTCCAATGGGTATGCGAATCGGATGTTCGTGTAAAGCGATGATGATGACTGCTGTGGGAGCTGATTCCCCAGCCATGCGAGTGCACTGGTACGTACTGCCGCTCACGCACGTATGCGTGGGGCCCTGTCGCGGAGTCCCGAATCGTTTGGAAAGCTTACAGCCATCACTTCGTAATAATTGCGGAAGGCCGTGGAGTGCTGCTTACCCTAACAAGTTTTACAAGTTGCCGTTAGTCATCCTTCGGGGTATCGATCTCGTGCAGCCGAATCCCTCGCCAGCTCCTGCTGCTGCTGCTGCTGTTGCTGCTGCTGCACATAACTTCGCAAAAACTGCATTACGATGCGGCATACGACGATCAGGATGGTCCGTCCCGAGTTTCCCTTAGGTCTGCTGCTTCCGACGTGCCTGCTGCTGGTGTTGCTGGCCGCACAAGGCGGCAACGCTGATGACGCGGCGGAGCAGCTCCGCGTTCAAAAGGTACAGACGTACATACACACACATTCGTATTCACTCGACCGCATGGTTGTGCTTTTGTGCACAGCCGTGTGCTCGTCCAGAAAGGGACATGGTATGTCCGTATGTCGGGGCTGTGACAGGATTGTGGAGATCGTCTCACGCAGTGTCCCGAGGGAGGCTGTACCTCCCTCTCCGCCTTATCTATCTTTAGCAACGAAAAGGAACTCATACCCCATCAGCATTAGGGATCGGAGGAGACGGGAGATGCGGTTTGGGTCCGGGCAAACACATGCAAAACATAAGAAAAAAACAGACTGACTGACTGACAGACAGACGGAGAAACGCCAAAGAAGTGGGCCCCAAATCGCCCGCAGGGTTCAAGTAGTGCCTCTTAGGCTAGTTATAACACGTGGCAGTGCTGCCGCCGCCGCCGCCGCCGCTGCTGCTGCTGCTGCTGCTGTTGCTGTTGCTGCTGTTGATGTTGTTACAGGGTGGTTAAGCTTCACCAGTGGCCTCCTTCCCGAGGCAATTCCCTGCTCTCCCATGCTAGAGGGGCACCCTAAGCCATTCACCCCATCCGACTTCAGAGTGTACTCTTTGAGTTTGGCAACTCACCACCAGCATCCAACCAAATCTAGCGAATCAACGGCGCGTCAACTTAGTTTCTGGTCTGCTCGCGAGTTGATTTTATCACGTCCTACACCGTCCACAAGATGTGGGGCCACCTCCCATTTCATCACCTCTCAAACACCCCGAGAGGCCGGCAGGCGGATTTGAACCCGGACGCGCCGGGACGCGCCGGGAGCAGAAGCCAGGCCTTAACCTCTGCCAGCCGCCTGCTGTTGCTGCTGCTGCACATACTGCCGCTCGGGGAAACCCGTCACCCCGCCCGCCGGCCTTCCATGGCCCCTTCCCGCCTCCCCTGCTGACCGCCGTCTGATGAATCCGTGCCTGCCCGCCCGCCCCCTTTACCCCCTCCCACCCTTCACCATAAGGCCATGCTGTCCGAGCTGGAGTACAACAAAAACGCACTGGCCCTGAAGGAACCATGGGTCCATCCTTCCGTCTGGCTAAGCTACTGGACTTATCGAGCCACAAAGTACTTTACCTCTCCCGCCCAGGTCAGCCTATTGGATGAGCTCAACGCACAGAACGCGCACACGGACCCCATGAATCCCTGGGACACTCCCTCCGCCTATCTGGATAGCTGGATAGCCAGGATGAGAGCCACCCTGCAGGACTAGTCGGAGAGACCACTACCTAGGATACGAATGTGCGACCTGATTAAAGGTCATTGGTTCAAATTTGGGTCGGCCCGAAATCGATTAAGGCGGGAGAGCATGTCTAACAGCAAGGTTCGCGGGCTCTGGAACTATTGGACCAATCCGAGTCCACCCCGGCTAGCCAGCGGCATTAAACGTGTACGGCACGTGGCGGCTTCAGAAGATATGCAACATTCACGGATAGGGACAGCAGGCACATGAGTAGATGAATGTTTATATGTACATCACGAAAGGGGGTAGCTCCGCCGGACTCGTTAATACCTGCCAAGGTTCAGGGCCCCGCTTTGTGAGGCGGTGGCTGTGGGGGTTGGGGTGTTGGTAGATGTGAGGCGGTGGACATAAGCAGTAGAAGGCTATATAGCGCGCTCTGTTAGCCCGGGTGTGAATGTATGTGCGTGAGTACGGACATATGCTCTTCCGTACCCCTCTCGTTAATTGACTCGGTTTATGTTCACACTCAGTTTAGCTGCAGCGAGTTTGCTGTGTGCATGTGCGATTTGCGATGCACTAGTGGAATGTTGCTGTTGGTTAGTTGGATCTGGTTGCGGGCATGTCATGTGCCTTTTTATCCATGCAAGATAACAAGGCGTGGTTCACTACTGCTCTGCTGGCTGACTGACGCGGTGCAGGGCTAGGAAGGAACGAATTACTTGCAGGGAGGGAGGAGGGAGGAAGGAGGGAGGGAGGAGGGAGGAAGGAGGGAGGAAGGAGGGAGGGAGGAGGGAGGAAGGAGGGAGGGAGGAGGGAGGAAGGAGGGAGGAAGGAGGGAGGAGGGAGGGAAGAGTCGTGCGTATGTAAGACTCACACAACACATGACATATCCTCATTATACACAAGTGTGAGTGTGCATGTATGTGTTGTGAAGTTTACAAGTATCTGACGGGGCCTGACACTTGGCCAGGGGCTGCTACCCAGCCCCAGCAAAAAGACCGCCTAATTTCCCTCGGGCAGATGGGAGAGGGGCGAGAGGGGCCCCTGCTTCCCCCTAAGCAGCCGAGAGTAGCAGGTCCGCTAGCTCCGCTCTCCTCCCCCGGGGGTTGCGCGGCGTTGCACGTGCACACGCTCTAACGAGTCAAAGCTCCGTCACGAGAGTTTGCGCACTGAGCCTGAAACACGAAACAAGACTCCACTCCATCCTTGGCTGATCCGGCCTTGGGGTGAGGGTTCACTAATTATAAGACACAGGAAACCCGGAAACCCTGTACAGACCCTACCCCTCCCTATTAAGGCACGAGGCCCTATTAGAAAGCTCGGTCCCTCACCCGATTCTGCGTTGCGGGGGAGTGGGCAGAGTTCAAGAAATTCGCGCTAACCGGTTGCTGCCTGCAGCCCCGCCTGTGTGCACGTTCCATGGTGGACAGCGCCGCGAGGCTGACCACATCCCACACGCACCGCTGCAACCCTGCCGGTGCTTCTGCGAGCCACACGATCGCCCGGGATATGGGTCCGGACACGTAGGCCGCGATCTGCTGTATCGCCGCCTGCTCCACTGGGCACTACCAGGATTGATGTGCACGCGGGGAGCACTGCAGCGCCTGCTGCGGTCATGCCGCTCCTCCGAATCCGCCACAGCCACACCGCGTGTTGCCGGGCAGGGGAGCGGCCAGGCACCAGAGAGTTTCCTTGTGCTCCCGTTCCCACTTGACCGCCCGTAGCCGTCGCAGTGTTTCCGGTATGCGCTGCCGCTGCCGCTGCTGCAGTGTATGTGTGTGTATATAAGCTTATATGTGTGTGTAACAAGTCCCTCCCCCGGGTTGAAGATGGCATCACCGCCGATATGTGGTGGTGAAGGCTAACGGGCCAATTAGTGAGTGTGCTGTGAACAACGCAGGCATGTTCACAGCCGTGGGCGATCCCGCCTGAGTCGGCCCGCCTGAGTCGGCCCGCCTGGGGTTGCGGTGTCGTGCGATTAGTGGTCGAGCTAGCCCTCGATTGCTACTAAGTAGCAATACTTTGCACGCAATGCCCGCTCGCAGTTTTTGTCCCAATTCCTTGCTGACATGGCGGCAGACGGATAGTGATTAGGAGTGATGCAGGTTGGTCTGGTTGACAATACTGTCTTGTACAATTTAAGGTCCTGGGTTTGTTTCCTGGGGAGACCCTCGATATTGTCAGGAGCGTGAGATTATGGCTAGCTGCTGAGATGTGGAGTTGAGGTCACAGTTGATGGATCGAGATTTGCACGCTGGATTGTTGAACCCCCTGTCTCTGCGGATGTTCGGGTGAATGGATGAGGAGGGATCCTAGAAGGCAGGATCAACCGCCTTGGACTTCCAGTTCGTATGGCGTAGTACAGTGTGGTAATGGTGAATGGTGCTGTATGGTGATAAACCATAGAAATGACAATGTGTTCAAGTGGCCCAGAAGCCTCCCACTCAGTAACAATTCAACAAGAGATCCACCTGAGTCCCAACCCAAGCAGCCACTTCTGAGAATTGCACGCTTTAAAGCCACGACAGCCGGCATAACTTGGCGAACAGCCGTAGAGTTCATTGCCTCGTTCAGCCAGTTAATAAGTTGTTGAGGATTAAGCTTCCTTGGATGCTATATGTATGCATGTATGTGCCCGACGTCCAATGGGCATGGGAATCGGATGTTCGTGTAAAGCGATGATGATGACTGCTGTGGGAGTTGATGTGAACGTTCCCCAGCCATGAGGTGCATCGTGCAGGTACTGCTGTCACATCAAGGGCTTTACGAACACCGTACACGTGGGAATGTACACTGCCGCAAGAACGTAAAATCCCCCCAGGTGCAATCGGCAGGTTATGGGAAAATTGGTAATTTACATCTGGAAGAGCATCCTACTTTTCCAATTCGGGCATTGTGTTACGCGACTTGTCCCGCACATTCCTGTTTGAGATTTGGGACATACGACGATCAGGATGGTCCGTCCCGGATTTTCGTTAGGTCTGCTGCTTCCGACGTGCCTGCTGCTGGTGTTGCTGGCCGCACAAGGCGGCAAGGCTGACAGCGAGCAGCTCCGCGCCCAAAAGGTACAGGCGTACATACACATGCACACACTTGAATTCACTCGGCCGCATGGTTGTGCTTTTGTGCACAGCCGTGTATCCGCTCTTTCGTATTCAAGTCTTGCATTCTCCGTTTTAGGAGGAGACAGAGTACTTCGTGTGCGAGTTATTGAAACTGCCTCCCTCAAGGCCCTCTAGGCCACCTCCCGCCACCTTCCGGAACAGCCGGCTGCTTCCAGTGGTAGTTTTTCCCGCGCGGTAATCGCCGCCCGGAGTCTTAATTCGCAAATCGGGGGAGAAAGGAAATGTGCTCCTTCGCCGCGGCGTGGCGTACATCATTTCCATCGCCGTTGTGGCTTTGATGGTTTCGGATCGGCCTTCTAACGACCTGCACGTACGGCCAATCCCAGTACGGCCAATCCCAGCACCACGCTGTAGTGAAGAAAGAACCGATGCCCTGCTGCTGCAGATGCTGTTTTGATCTTCGACCGCTCTGTTCTGTCTACGCTATTATCTCCCCCACCGTCCTCCACATCCCCGGCCCGCTTGCCGCCGTCTGATCAACCCGTGCCTGCCCGCCTGCCCCCCTTACCCCCTCCCACCCCTCAACATAAGGCCCTGCTGTCCGAGCTGGAGTACAACAACGACGTGCTGTCCTTGAAGGAACCATGGGCCAGTCCCTCCCCCTGGCTTCGGGACTGGATCAGTCGAGCCAAGCCGTACTTCACCTCTACCGCCCAGGTCAGCCTGCTGAACGAGCTCAACACCCAGAATGAGGACGTGTCCCGGAACGACCCGTGGGGCAGTCCCTCCGCCTACCTGGGCCGCTGGGTGGCCAGGATGAGAGCCACCCTGCAGGACTAGATGGATGCCGTGATTCATGAAGATGCGCAGTGGTGGAGAGAACCCCCTCTGGTGGGGATCCCATCAGAGGGGATAGTCTAGATGGTGGTTGCAACACCGCGCGTGCTGTTACCCCGGGTGCGACTGTATGTATGTTTGTGTGTCCGTGTGAATGCGCCTGCACGTGAGTTGGTTGAATCTGTTGCTGTGAAGAAACTGTTTTTGTGCGAGTTTGCTATATATATGTGCGGTGCAGTAGTTGAAGGTTGATGTTGGGTAGTTGGGTCTGGGCTCGAACATGTCACTTGCCTTTCTTTATGCGAGATAAAGGCGTGGCCCTCTCCTCTGGTGGCTGCTGCTGGTGGCTGCTGGTGGTGGTGGTGGTGGTGTTGAGCGGTGTAGGCCAGGAAGGATAAACTTGCTTACATAAAACGGTGGAAGGGGGAAAGGCATGGACATATGTAAATCTCTAAGTTGGAGCTGAAGAGCGGCACTCGCGCGTTCACCGCAAGTGGCACCAACCCCATCATCAGCTGTTATGGCACTTCCCTTCTGCATCTCCCAGTTGGGCTTTTACACGGTCAACAAACGTAAAGCCTCATTAATGCTGCAACTTCGCTAGCCTACAAGAAGGGGATTTCGACAACTCGCTCAATGACGCAGGCTCTTGCACACGTGGTTAGGGTGAGGGCTTCTTGCACACGGCTCAAATACACCCGGCACTTCCGTCACGAGTGCCGCGGACCGTTCACGGCAACAGCTCTCTCCTCGGCAGCGCACACAGCCCGGGCAGTGAAACGCACGAGCGCTGCCTCGAGGTGTGCAGTTACACGAGCCGCGGTACCCTCCATCGCGATGGGGTTCGAACCCGTCTGGAAACAGCACCCAGGGGCCGGACCAAAAAGAGTAACCACCCTACCCTTCCTTTGGCAACACCCCCGGGTACTTGCCGTACACACATGTACAAGAGATTTGTCTTACACAAGTGCTTGTAACCGCAGCTCTAGGAGGGACTCACCTTCGGCAGTAGCAGCAGCAGCAGGAGGACCGCGCTGTCTCCTCACGTTGATTGCAGGACCGGGTTCATGCAGACAAACAGTGAGAAACAAGCGGAAGGAGGGTGCGTGTGTGGACAAGTCCGCGTGTGATGTATCTACTACCGGGTCATCATAGCATATCAAGCGCGATACTACAACTCTATAGTACGACACAGTACGACATACATGTACAGTACAGCACAGCATGCGGTACATCAATGACCCACGAGGCGGAAGCTGTAATGCCGTACACTTACAATCCTACACATCCTCTAGTGGCCGCAGCACCCTGAGGGCAGCGCACCTCACCAAGCCATTGTGGCCGAGTGGGGCGCGCCAAGGGAAAGCATGATGAAGGGAGGTTGGTTACGGATCACAACCAAAGAAAAGCAATGCTGTGCGAACATGATCCAGGCATGCGCATACGGACACGCACCCCACCACAGAGCAACATCATGTTTGGCAGGCGGCCGGCAGCTCTAACCAGGATTTGCTGTTTGCGCGCTAGAAGCCTTTCTTGAAATCTTTGCTGCGCTGCGCTGTGCTGTGCTGCCAGCCGCCAGCCAAGCACGACTCCTCATTCCCGCGGTAATGCTATGCATCCTTAATTGCTTGGTTGGTCGGAAGCGTGCCATCGGCGGTGGAATGTACGTGCACGTATATGCGTATAGAATACATTTCATCTCACTAGAGGACAGGCACGCAGCTACACGGCTAAGTTACACGTTTTGACCTCAGCACCCCACCACCTGCCGTACATAACCGACGATAAGAGCTACAGCAGCCCATCAGTATTAGCACCTGGGGTATCACAAGGTCCTACACCTGCTGTGGTGTGCAATATATAACATTTGCAAGGTTTGCTCCCAGTCCGATCAGATCCGCATCCCTCTGACTGCTTCGCATTGCCCCCACATCGCCCCGTTCTTTATCAATGTATGACGTGTGGGACAGGGGGCCACATCTTCACCCGTGGCCGCTACCCCGCGAAACCCTGCCTTCCCCGGTATTTCGGGGCACCCTCATCCAGTCACCCTAGTCAACTTCTCAGTGGATCGCTCAGGTTCCGCACCCACCACCGGCATCCCACGGAATCTGCCAGATCAACGGCTGCTCAACTCCATTCCTGGTCAGCTCACAGGTCAACTCTACCCCAGGTCACCACCGTCCATCGACTAGGGGCATTCTTACCTCCCACCATCGGATGAATTTTTGACCCTGACCGGTCTCGATCCCGGATCCTCAGGGGGCATCGATGTGTGCGTTACCAGTAGTGCCTGGCCATGTACGTATGTCCACAACCCTATGCATCCCTTCTCCGCCTCCCCCCCTCCTTCCCCCCATCATCAACCACATGCACACCCACACAGCAACCCCGGCGGCAACCAACAACATCTCTTACCCGAGCTGCGGCATCATCGGCACACCAAGCTGATGATTTCGAACGTCCCGAGGGACGCAGCGACAGCACCAACTGCATTTCCTTCTACGTCACACTGAGGACTGAAACATGTTTTCTTCTACCCCCCATGTCTATTTGCTCGTCTGTTTGCAAATGTGCACATATGTACGGTACATATTTATGTATGTATGTATGCATGTGTGTAGCGGCTTGGAGGTTTCCTAGCTAACCCCGGAACCACGGGTCAGTTTGGTCAGGTGGCTGCAGAACCTGCTCGCCAACCGCGTAAGGCTCCGCTACTCCCTCGCCACGGCAGCATACCCCTGATGGCCACCATCGCCGCCACCATCGCCACCGTTGAGCTGTTTCATCTGTTCCCGCATGCCAAGCACCTGCCGCCGAGCCATTCGGCCCCGCTGTACGGCCTGGATCCGTGTTATCTTCTTAATAGATTCTGGATCCTGGTAACGGGTAAGGTCGTACAAGGGTTCGTTGGCTGCTCCGTTGCCGGCATCAGCGACGGATATCGCAGCGGCGGTGGCGTTAGCAGCAGTGGCGGCGTCAGCGGTGGTGGCAGCGGCAGCTGCGGCGGACCCACCGCCAACGGCCTTGATGCTGGGCAGCGGCAGCAGCGACGGTAATCGAGCGCCATGTGCCGGGTCGCCAAAGGGGTGAGGTGGCGGCGCCGCCGCCGCCGCAGCAGCAGCAGTCGTGGGCCTTGCGGAGTCCTCCGGTCCCAGCAAGGGTGTCAAGTCTATAGGTTTTAGGGCGGTGGCGGCGGCGGCGGCAGCCTTGGTGGTTGTTCGGCCGTCGGCCCCCGGCTGCCCTGCATCAACAGCCTCCTCCACCTCCACCGGCTGCAGCGGCCGTGTCAACTCATGTTCATGTACCTGCTGTTGCTGCCGCTTCTGTTCCCGCATGCCAAGCACCTGCCGCCGAGCCATTCGGCCCCGCTGTACGGCCTGGATCCGTGTTATCTTCTTAATAGATTCTGGATCCTGGTAACGGGTTAGGTCGTAGGTGGGTGATGGTTCCATACCAACGCGCTCCTCTTGCAATGACGCCACTTGGGAGCTTTTAACGGCGGCGGCAGCGGTGGCAGCAGTGGCGGAGGTGCGGATGTTGGGAGAGGGTGGCACCGCGCCTTCACTGGCGGCGTCTGACAGCGGCGCCCGCAGTGCGGGTAGCACAGATGCCCTGTGTGCCGCTGAGCCAGCCCCGCCACCATTGCCACCACCACCAATGCCGGCGGGACGCGCCAGCGGCGGCAGCTGTGCCAGTGGCCGCAGCAATGACTGGGGGCCGCCCGGGGCTTTCCCGAGTAGCGGTGCAAGTGGTGCAGCCGGTGGTGGCGGAAGGGCAGCCGGCGGCGGCAGTAGCGGTGGCGGAAGGGCGGCCGGCTGCCCTCCTGCTGCCAACATATCCAGCTGTCCCGGGAGCTGTGCGGCCTGTACGACATCCATTTGCCCTGAGGCCTCATTCACTGCCGCCGCCGCTGGTGCCACCGCCGGCGGCGGCAGCGCCTCACTCGCACCACCAACTGATTGTGATACATGTCCCACTGCCGTGAGCCCGGGGGCAGCGGAAACTGCGGCGCCGCCGTTGCTAGAGACGGTAGTGGCTGCAGCTGCAGGGAGGGTAAACCCCCGAAAGGGGGGGGAGGGGCAAATGGCGCGTGCCGGATGATGGTGATGGAGGGGAGGCTAGTGAGGGCAGGGGCGAGTGATCCATCTCTTGAGTCAATGTGGGGAAAATGGAAGGATTTAGGCATTTGGGTTTGAAGAGCGCTAAGCTAGGGATGTTAGCTGTCAGGTGTCAATTTGCTTTGGAAAGCATGGTCGACCTCTGGTCGAGACCTATATGTGTAGCATTATCTGTCCGTCTGTCTGTCCGTCTGTCCGTCTGTCCGTCTGTCTGTCCGTCTGTCTGTCTGTCTGCTGTCTGTGTCTGCCTGACTATATGTCTGTCCGTCTGTCTGCCTGTCTATCTCTATATTTGTCTGTGTGTCTGTCTGTGTGTCTGTCTGTTTGTCTGTCTGTGTGTCTGTCTGTTTGTCTGTCTGTGTGTCTGTCTGTGTGTCTGTCTGTGTGTCTGTCTGTGTGTCTGTGTGTCCGTCTGTCTGTCAGCCAGTCAGTCAGTCTGTCTGTGTGTGTGTCAATCACACATTCCGGAGCCGGAGCCAGTGTGTTCCGGAGCCAGTGTGTTCCGGAGGCGGTTCCGGTTAGTTAAGCCACGGTCTACCCCCCTTTCACCTCTCGCGAGGTGAAGGCAGCTGTCCTTCCTCACTTCACTTCATTTCACCTCACGCCGCTGATAACAACGAAAAGCCCCTAGGTAACCCCACGCGCACAAAGTCAGTCAGTATTGTCATTAGAGGTCACTTTGTAGTCCCCAACGAACATTCAGACATTCGCATTAGGACCACGCACGCTAGGAAAACACAGACACGCACGCGACTCTGTCATCCCTCTTTCAACCCTCCTCTTTCACACGCACCTTCTGGCTGCTGCTGCTGCTGCTGCTGCTCCGCCAGCACCCTCCTGACGGCCATTTCCCTCCGAGCAGCTTCCTCAAAGTACGACGGGTTGGGAAGCTGGATGATGAGTTGGCGGGGGAGTGCGGGTGGCGGTGGTGAGGGAGGCGGGGGAGGAGGCAGGGGGAACAGTCCGCAGCAGGAGGCCCAGCACGTGGGCTGGGGAATGGGCACCGCGGTGACGTCGGGTCCTGAACATTATCGGGGATGGGGGAGTGGGGTTGCAAGGGAGACGGGGGGGGTGTAATAGCTCTGTGTTTATCCAGGGGTCCAGGGGCGGAAGTGAGAATTGGGGAAGAAGGGTCGCGTGTGGCAGCAGCAGAGGGCGGTTCGGGGTGGAGGGGGCGGAGTGGAGTCATGAGGCGATCGGCGGGTCTACGTCATGGATAGCCTTACCGTTGCCCCTTTCGTTGTCGGTTTTCCCCTCCCCGACCCCTCCCCGACCCCTCCCCTTCCCCTCCCCTGTGCTTCGCAGACACACAACCGACGGTGTATCCCTAACCCGCCATAGAATGTACGACGCGCTATCTACCCCTGCCGTACCTCTTTCTGACGGATTCCTCGGTCTTGGCGGAGGCTGCGGTGGTAGCCGGGCCTTCATCGCCATGACCTGGGCCTGTGGGGGAGCCCACCCGACCACAGGAGGGAGAGGAGGGAGAGGAGGGAGAGGAGGGAGAGGAGGGAGAGGAGAGGAGGGTCAAGAATTAATAAAGGGGCTCTCACAATGGGGGGCCGCCAGCACACCACGACAAGTGTAACCATCATATCGTAGAGTGCAGTCAGGTGTGTCACTCGTTTGTGGTCGTACATCAAGTGCCTTACACAAAACCTTTATTTTGCCTCCCTCAGGACATACTCCCGCACCCACATGGGAACTAGCGTCAAGCCCTGCCGTACATGTGTACGGCACCCTGCCATATATATATTAAGGCAGCTTAACTGAGTTTTACGTGACTCAAGGTTCGTTCGCGAACTAACCCAACCAACCGACTAACCAACCAACCACCATCTAAGCGCCTGCAAGATGTTTCGCATTCTCATGATGGCGCAGCAGGATGGTAAACATAATCTGCATCATGACTACTAAATACCTGCAACATGGTGTCATCCTGTAACTGCCGTACGTCCCGGACCCCCAAAGGCGAGTACGGACGGTAGTGTGCCCCCTTCCGATTTCGACACGTACGCAAAACACACAAAGCTCTCAAAACACACACACACACACACACAGCTTGGCCCGTCGTAACACCGCTTGCACAGACATACGCACAGACATACACGCATGCGCACACCTGCACGTATTTGAGCCGCTCCTGGCCCTCCAGCAACGTTCGCTCGTTCCTGGCAACCATGCCACTGCGAGCAAGGAAGCAAGGCGAGGGAACGGAAAGGCGGCAGGAGGGCGGAGCAATGCGGAGGCAGGAACACGCGGGGCAGCGCCACGTCATGCGGGAGGCCGACAGTCCCAACCGACAGACATAGAGACATTCTTCCTGCACTGCAGAGCCCTCTGCCATGTTATCAATCAGACTCCCTCTCCATAGCTAGGTCAACAATTGTTGGTGAGCGGTGAGCGGTGAGCGGTGAGCGGTGAGCGGTGAGCGGTGAGCGGTGAGCGGTGAGCGGTGAGCGGTGAGCGGTGAGCGGTGACGAAATGGACTAAATAGCGTGTTTCATAAGCGATCCCGGGTTGTTGCACCGGATGGAAGATGCAGTAGAGATGCCGTATTCCGTACTCACCAGTGCTTGAAAATCGCGTGGCGGCCTTCCTCCTGGAGTGTGTTGACGTATTGCAGGGTGTTGGTGGCGGCTTCAGGAGATATGGCAGGAGGTGACTGGGTGTGGGTGTGGGTATGGGTGTGGGTGTGAGACGATTGTTGAGAGTTAGCGCCAGTCAGAGGAATGGAGGTAGGGAGGGTTGGTTGGCAGCCGGTTAGGAAAGCCACAAGGGGATTCGAGGTAAGATACAAATAAACCCAGGAGCATCGGGCCCCATAGGGTGGAGATAAAGGAAAATGATGGATGATGGGTTGGGGGGAAGCGCTGCAGGAGCTCGCTGGGGGGTAAGTTTACAGTCGGAATGTGCTCGTAAATGTTTAAAGTAGTGAAAACAAAGGCCGGGGCCCAGCAGCGGGAATCATTTCGGATCTAATTAGTATGGTATGATTATAGCTCGGTTCGCCAGGACATTGCTCTGCGACCTTACCGGGCATGTTGCAAGCCCAGGCAAGCCAGGGCCCGCCAGCCGAGCAGCGACGATTGCTTCTTCGTCCGTGAACATGCGCCGCCACCGAAGTACATCCTCATCATAAATTTGGTTGGGTTTGACATTTGATGGCTTGGGTTTACGCTTTATTACTCGAATGCGGGGGGCCTTGGGTCGAGCACGACGCATCGGGTGTTGCCGCTGGGCTGAGAAGCTTAAGGCCAGAATATGCAAGCCTGAGATTCTTAAAGGCCAATCTTAGGATAACTATCGATGAACCCACTTCATTCCCTGTTGAGTTTATCGGGTCTTGAGCATCGTACATACAGGCTTGTTTTCACGATACGTTGCTCCGATTATACACTGTATCTTACAGGAAATTATACGGTGGACATCCCTCTTAATTGGGTCATCGCAATGCAGCAAGACAATCGTCGAGAGGAACGCTGCTAGACGAACCGTCCATTTACATGGGTAAAAGAGTACTATCTAACCTATATTTGCACATACATCGCAAACACCTAATACTTTGTAACATTTTGTGGTGCTCAACTAATAATGCAGAAACGAACATTGTACTGGCATTACTCACTTAGAGAACTCGACATGTATCTTGTATGTCCTAGGGCAGCTATATAGAAATGAACACTTCAATACATAAAACAACAACTCTCTAACTAATCGCTTCCTAGCCGTGACACGGCACGGAGATCGGCAGTACAGGTATGTCCCGGCACAGCTCCTGGTCTCCTCCCAGCCCTCCATCCTAGCCCCCTTCCAGTCCTCCTCCCAGCTGCAACGCGCTTCGCTAACAGCTCGTTAACTGCGTTAACATCTTCTGTATTACGCCGCAAGAAACCTTTGGTTAGATGCTCAAGGTTGCTCGGCGGCGACGATATCGAGATGTATGTGCAGTCCTTCCGGCCACGGATTTACGCGACCCAGCGTGAGCGCGACCCAGATGTATTCGTGGAGTGGCGGCTGCGGCAGATGTTGGCACTGCTACGCGACTTAGTGGTCTGGGCGTGATCGCCGCGTCCGCATTTGCTCAACGGAGTCCTGAATGGTTGAGATCCTTGTCCATGGAAGCTCACGTCTTTGCTGTCATATTCCACGCACCATGCATACAAGTTTTGACGGTCAGCGTGGGAGCGCGCTGCATGATAAGGCGTTAGGCGTCTATCCTGCCGTGAATTGGATGTATGCAATCGGGACACACGAGAAGTGATATGCTCGGGTACAGATGCGGTCGTGGGTTGGGTGCTGTTAGCTTTGGGACAGAATTAGCTGTGCCTTTGCCTTGTGATTGTGCACGGCTGTCGCCATTGTGGGCCATCGGCAATCGCTGCGGCGAAAACTGCCTATGAGTATGTGGGTCATGCCTCGTTCCTCGTTTGAACGGAGGACGAGGCATCGGCGGCATCGGCGCCGGCTAAAGCATATGCGAGAGACACGCAACCGCACGGCTCTAACCCAGGCAAGGGAGGTTAGGGCCCCTGGTGCCAAGAGAAGAGGTTCATCTCTGGTTGGCCGAAGGCAGGCCGCGAAGGCGCCAACCAGAGCTATGAGGTCTGCCCCCGACAGAATGGCCAGTGGGTCAAGCGCGAAGCAAGCTCTCGTTGTGGTTGAGCTCCGCACTAGGAGAAAGGTGTCATATTCTCTGAATCCAAAGTTCGCACAGGTGTGGAATGTTTTCCCTGAATAGGCCCTAATAGGCTATCTTACGCTGTTTGTCTCACTAGGACATAACCGAAACGCATGACTCGTTTTGGAGAATGATCAACAGAATGCCACGTAGGTGTAACTACCGCAAATTTGTCCAGGCCTTGGTGAACGTGGATGACGCTTAGTAAGCGCCGCAGGACGTCTATGAGAAGGTGGATTAGGTATGCAAGCTGGTAAACAACTATCACTGGGCATTAGATGGTGAATTCCGAATTGTTCCTGGCTTCCTTCTTCTTTAAAGTACCGCGTTGGGGTCGTTGGACGTTGATTGACGTTGATTCAACTGTGAAAAAGGATTTGCAAGGCCCGCGAATCGGAGAACTTTGTTACTTGGAAGATAGCTCTTGAATGTATAGCAGATGCACCTATTAAAAATACCATATTTTACTGCTCGCACCCAGCCATCTGCTCGCGGTGAACCATGGAAATTTTATGGACTGGTCGTTGTTGCTGAAATGGTGCGGGTAACATAACATCCGTATGTCAGTCATATGTATACCAATCACACTTGATACCCGAAATCTAGGGAAATGTCGACGGACCTGTTGGATGAGCCCATCACCCGCAAGGAGGTATGTATACCGTGAGGGGAAATACACTCCCCTTAAGGTGGTTGACCTCACACTTACTGCCCATCTGCGAAGCTGAGTTCACAAACGCCCATTAAACCAACTATATTCGCCCGCCAGGCTATCCTTGCGTTCACGTCGGCTGTTGTGACGGTCCTCCCGGGAGCCAAGAAACTTGGTGTGCTGCGGAACCTACTGAAGGCAGGGTGGTTGGTCACTGTCTGTAGTGCAGGCCGTCTGGGTGTATCTATCTGCAACACGTTGAGCATTCTTTTGTGCACCTTGCATTGCGGCTGGCAACGTGGCTTTGCGGTGATCATTGCACCGCTCGAAAGCCACACCTGCATTGCTGTCTAGGTGGAGCCTCGCTGCGCAATGACTCGCCAATTGGGGAGGAGGCCTATTCTGTGTGCCTGCGACTGCCTGTATTCTATCTGTCTGCCGAAACCCTGAGTCAGCCCCAACATGGCTCTGAAGGGCGCCCCGCCAGGCTGTCCCGCGCAAAATGGCCAGCGGCTAGTAGTGAAAGTAGAAGGGCAAGTAAGACACTCACGTAATACACAAAAGCGGCACCTGTACATTTCGTTCGGGCTCACGAACGCCCCAATGTCCCTCCTCCATCCCCTCGTTCGTGCCATCGTGTTCCCCAACCTCCCCCTTCGTCCAAAACACCATCACCTGGTATAGACCTCAACTGCAAGCTAGGATCCCCAACCCTTTACCCCACGAACCCGTCCGGCTAAAGTTCAATACCCCCTACATGCGCCCGGCCATCCACCCGCGCTCCGAACTCGGCACAGAGTCTAGTCCCCAACATCACGGAAGAGGACCTAGACGATGTCATCCCCTCCTCATACACCACCACTCAAACCGTTCGCAAGGCCCAACAGCGAAAAGCTGCTGTGTCGGCGGGGCCCCCAGTCAACGACCTGCAATACCTCACCGCCCAGCTCTTCGTGCTGCTAGTCAATCACGTCATGCGGCGACTGGGTGATACTGCTGCTACTGCGGATTATTTCGGCGCCGAAACGCCGGGAGGTGAAGCAGCAGCTGCAGCTGCAATAGGGCCGGCGGCTGCCGAGGAGGTGGAGGCGGAGTGGGATGCGATTGGGGAAGCGGACCGACGCGACTTCACGGACGCGGTGCGACCCGTGGTTCAGGCACTGGCGTCGCATCAGAGCCGACTGGGGAGGTCCCTGACGGGCGGGGAAATCCTGCGAGTGCTCCAGGACATTAAAGTCGACCCGCAGGCTGCGGAGCGTGGAGCGGCAGTGGCGGCGGTAGCCTGGACGAAAGCGGAGGTGGAAGCGGGGCCGTGGGCAGGGATGGGCGAGGATGAGCCGAAACCCGATGCCTGCAAAACGGGGACCCTGAACGGCAGCGTGGGAAAGGGGGGCCCGGGGAGTAAGAAGAAGAAGGGGAACAAGGAGGAAAGGCGGCTGCATCTGCAGGGGGGTCCAAGGGATGAGGGGATGGCAGGGGAGGGAACCGAGGCTGCTGGTGACGGGTCGCAGCGGTGTGAGCTTATATCCTTGTTGGACCTGTTGACCAGGGCACCGCATGAGGGGCGCGCAGGGGCTCCAGCATCGCCACTTGACCCTTCGAAGGGCGGGGCGCTCATGTTGCATTTTTAGTTTTCGCTCCATCACACAACGAATCACCCGTCGTCACATCGCAACACGCACACAGCACCGCCACTAAAGCACAATGCGTCTGCTGTTGGGTCCGCTCACGCATGGATACCCTGTTATGCACATTCGCGTGATAGCCCCTGTATGATGTTTCGGCTAGTGGGGATGTTGTCACCGGTTGATTGTCCATTAGGGGAGGTGGAATTGAGCTTCCAGGCTGTAACTTTGGAATTGAGCTTCCAGGCTTGACAAGTAGCTTTCTGGGGATACGGGCATGGGGATTCTTCTTGGGGAAAACTTGGAATTAAGACAGGAAGACAGCACCTGACGCTGTTCCGATTTCACATGGGATCCATCGCCTGTGTCGACGCCATTTCGGAATCAGCTGCTCATCGCCTTTGACTTGTGTAGAGAGTCCGTGCGCGGCAGAGGGGTTTGGGACAAAAGGAAACCGCCAAACTCGAGCGCCTTTCGGGTGATAATTTGCAGGATGCAGATGGGAACTACACTTCAGGCACCTCCTTGCCTGTGCGATGTCGTGCCCATTGGTTTTGATTTTTTTTAATTGTTATTGTTACAGAGTGGGAGTTTTTTTGATTTACGTTCAAAGCTCACCTCGGTAAGAGAGCTAATTAGCTTGCATGTACACTCAGATCAATGTAGCAGAGGGTAGAACTTGTGCGGTACTGCTGCCAAAAGATACTCAGGCTGAAGTCCTCATGCTGCAACAGCAGGACACACTACTAGCTTAGTTGCAACGAGGTCAGTAACCGGTGAACCGTTACGCCGCGTGGAAGCTGAGGGACCCGTGGACTTGGAGACCGCGTGGCTTTTAAGGGCCACAGTAAATGCTGGCATGTGGGAGCTGTTTGTTGCTGCGTGCATTGGAAATAAGAATGCATTATTACGGCCAACGTCGCTAAGTCTGTCATATCTCAACGGCCGCTCTCCTCTTGTCTCCGCTGGTGTTGTGCACAGGTAAGAGCAGTAGTGAGCCTGGACTCTGGAGTCAAATCGCTTAAGACATACCAGGCAGACGCTTGCAATATCGCCAGCTCGCGATGCAAAACATCTAATTTACACGCATTACACAGAAGAGTCACCACCCCTGCGGAGTCCCACCGCCAAGTTATACGAAAGCAGATCAAGAAATACAATGCGTACAAAATGCTATCGGCTTTATTTGCAGCACGGGGAGTCGTGTACTGAAACGCCGACCAATCTCAGACACGACGTCGACCGGGAAAAAAACTCATAATCGACCTACTCTTACTCTCCGGGATCAAGTAAGCCGCTCCCGCGCCGGTACAGATCCATTTCCACGCACGAACCGTGCTTATCGGGCGGCCTGAACCGTACATAGGCAATAACGACTGCCATGCTTCCGAATTGAGCCGCCCTTGTCACGGAAAACAGCCGGACAATGCGGCTGGCAGTATGACAGGCCCTCACCTGCCTTGTGCTAGATCACACGGTCCGCTGTTGAGTACTCATGCCGGCTAAAAGCCTGACATACGGCATGCTCTAAAACACATGCCAATCCGAGTGCGCGATACAGTTAGTGTCAAAGCCAGCCAGATGACACTTATCCAGTCCGAGCGCGAAGGTTGTTGAAAGGCTGACTTGGCTACGTTGCAAATCATGCGCATGCGCACGCATGCACGACGGGACAGCTTCGCAAAACATCTGCCGGAAGCATTACTGATGATGCAGGGCCGAAGAGCCTCCGGGTACGTGGCGCATACGAAGCCACATGGCTGTTGTCGGGCCAACCGCAGCCTACAGCTCTAAACATTACCGTAGATCCTATGGGCTGCGTTTACGCCTTCTTCCGCTGGTTCTTCTTTCCGGCGGACTTAAAGCCATCCGGATCAGACGTCCCCGCGGACGTCGAAGGCCCCTTAAAGGCCTCCGCTGGTGTGGGTAGCGAGCTGTCGGCGGCCAAGCTCACCACGGGGGTCTCCACCTTGGCCCACTGCCGCGGAGGTGGCCCAGTCGGCACTGGACGCGGTGCTGGTGCTGCAACAGGAGCTGGAGCAGGGGTAGCCGCAGGGCCGCCATTTGCCTTAGGTGCGGTGGCCGGGGCCGGAGCTGGCGTGCGCGGGCCTGGGCCCGCCGGGGATCGGACGGGGCTCGCCGCCGAGGCCACGGGGCCGCTGGCCGATGCGACGGGAGCGCCGACCAGTGGGGTGTACACCACCGGTGCAGGGTCAGTAGCGACAGCTGCCACGGGGACCGCCGCGGTAGGGGCGGTGACCGTAGGAACCACAGGTGCTGACCCGTTCGCCGTGCCCAGGATGAGGTTATATTGCTGCACCACCTGCAGGGTTATTCGTATCAGTAACGTTATTTGGGAGGTAACATGAATGCAGTAGCGTGGGCTCCATTCCTGACCACAATGCATAAGAGACGCTTCGTGTCGTGAACACAGCCAGTGCTGCGGGCCCTGTGAACATAGAGCATGACTGATTTCTGCCATGCAAAAAACTAACAGCCGTATGGGAGAGATAGGGTAACGCAGTGCCCTGAAGTTCGGTCGGGGTGCAAGGGGGCGAATAGCTCCCATGTCGCTAGACAGCCATTATTCCAACTCTCCTAACCATCGCATCTGCAATGGCACACCCTTCGCCCCCGTACCTGTGCTGCCAGAGCGTCGGTGTTGCGGATGTGTGCAGCCACCACAGATGCCTTCTCGGGGTTAAACCGTACCATGGAATCGTAGCGCTTGTGCGCGTCGGCACGCACCTGAAGAGCGATAGGAGGAATTCCACAACTGCTCAGGCAGCCAGTGACGCGCGGGAAGGATCAACAATAGATGCTTCGAGCAGAAATGGCAGCACGTCAACACTAAGCACCCTACGTCCTCTTTACATAAAAATGTACTGCCCAGTGCCAACGCAAGGGAGTCCAAAGCCGTGAAACTGATATGCAGGCAGCAACGCGACCATCACGCACCTGGGAAGCTGCTGCCACCATCTCCTCTGCCATTGCCATCGTGTCAGACAGAAGCTTTTCCGCATCTTCCGCCTGGCGCCTGTGCATCGGATTGGGGTGGCAAAAGGCGGCAGCTACATCAAGGAACTATAATTGACCAGGGAACTTGTTCCGCGTGAACTGGATCGGACACCTAACAATGCGTCGCGCCATAGAATCGTGAATAGCTCATGGCCCGCCCTAAGATAACTAATTACAAACATCACCCGGAGTCCCGTAATGCCCGGCAATCGTGACATGCATAACACGCAACGCCAGTGGGCATCACCTTGGTCACGCCTAGTGCTGAACGATAGTTCTCTCCCCACCCACCAGATATACCATCAACCCTTACCCACTTGCTGCCCTCCAGGACCTTGCCGGCCACTGCACCCAGTTGCGCGAGCTTGGATGCCTGTGCAATGCGCTGCCGGCAAAAGGTCAGCTTGGCCGGCACCTCGCCAAGGAAGCCAAGCGCAGCGCTCAGAAGGTGCTCTGCCGCGGCCACATAATCCACTGGCGCGTTGACCTGTGAAGCAAAGAACGGATCAACAACGAGCAAAAAACGAAACCATGGCTTTTCCCACGTGGCCTACACCATCCACATGAAAGAACACAAAGATACCAAGGAGACGACGGAACAGTTGAACCGCAACGCGTAAGACTCATCGTGCGTATTTGGCTAGGTAACCGACCTGCAGCTTAGCGTTATCCTGGCTAAGCAGCATGGCAGTTACTTAGGCAGCATCGAACAGGGTGGAAACCCGTCAGCGGTAGGGTGGAAACCAGTCAACGTTTAGGAATAGCAATCTTGCCGCCCTCAGGTAAACGCCAGCGTGTACTTAGTGATGTATGGCTTGGATGTCATATCCTTATGCTGCGTTACCTGGGCGCTTTGCACAGTAAGAATTTGCTCTGGAGAGGCAGCGGCCGACCGGCCAGGGTCCGCCAGGTCCGCCAGCGTCTCCGCCAAGCCCAAAGCATCTCGGTAATGCGCTGGGGTGAGCACTGCTGGGCCAGCCTGTACAGACAAGAAGATAGCGGAGATGGAACGACTATTCCAAGCTATCACCAAGGAGACGGCCACTAACGCGCCATCTGGATGCAACATGAACGGCCTTCTAGTTCATAACAAGATAATTTATTTGACCATGCCATGTAACCGCTTCTGCCCCTCGCCGCCGGACACGCGTCTACCTGCGCCCGCCCGCCCTTGCCGCCTGCGCTGTTGCCATTCTCCCATACGCCCCGTTGCCTTCCTGCCAATGCCGCACGCTTATCCTCAATCTCAGCAGCTTGCGCGCGCAGCGAATGAAGCTGCGCCTCAAGGGTGCGGATTTGGCTTGAGACCTGCGTCACAACAGGTGCACCCAGCCAATGCGTCCGCTGGTTTAAGATCAGGCATACCAGGTTCACGAGGTAATTACGAGGGTGTTCGTTGTGGGTTCGTGTAAAAGTGGCAACACGGAAGAAGGGTTGATGGTTGATGTCGCAGAGGCCACTGTTTAACGTGTCCTGTGGTATGGAATGTCTTGTGCGCATCAGACGTCGTGGGCCTTCCTACACAAGGACGCTTCGGTTTCGTCGCGAAAGGGTTGCGCGCCATTTGAACAACGCACGTGACCGCAGCACCTGTGCAGCCTGTGTCGCAAGAATCTCCTCTTCGCGCTTGTAGTTCGCCACCTGCGCAGCACGAGATGAAGCGTCCACCGCCGCTGCGCCTCCCGATTTCAGCTCCGCCTCCTGAACAACGAAAATACGAAGCACACTCCTTAGCACCAAGCGCAGCGGGTTTTAAACATGGTCATTCTCTTGCTGCTGCAACAAGCGATGCACCCACGACTGATACCTACTCCAAGGGCGATTGTGCCACTTCGGGCGTAGGACAGCCTATTCCAGACCAGCATACGAGAATCAGCCTCGCCGTTACAAGCTTTCCTTGCCAAGCCTGGCAGTTTGACTGGTTTAAGCTGGAACGCGCGTAATATAATGTAGTTGGTCATCCACTATGCCGAACCTTGAGGTGGGCCCCAATCACAGCCTTGAGCTCTTCGATGCTGCGGAGGCAGGCCCCCAGTGCCCCTGAAGGCGGCTTGGCTACAGGTACGGCCTCCGGCTGTAGCAGATCGAACTTCTCCTCGTGCAATTTCACGAGCTGACGGGCCGTGTTGGCGGTTTCCCTGCGAAAGCATGGAACCATGTTTCTGTAAGCATTGCATGCTTAAAGTGACCTCCATTAAAATGGATATGGGTCAAGTCATATGCTGCAAAGCTCCAGCGCGGCGCAAGGACGGGAAAAGGTGCCACAAAGGATGGAACTGGAGTAAAGACATTCATACATAAAATCAAACACCTAAAAAATCGAGCGGTTTGTACTGAATTGTTTTAATACCCCCAAAATGACTGCGGAGTCCCCCAGCAAGTCTAACACTCACAGGCGCTCATGGAAAACTTCCAGTGGATATCCGGGGACGTCCTGTTAACTTTTCCCACGTCAACATGGCAGGTTGAGGGAGGCCCTGGAGCAATCTGACAAACCTTAATCCTAGCTCCTCCGGTCATACACCGAGGAGGACCAAATTGAAAATCAAGTATAAAAGGCAGTGAGCAGTGTATCCTGAGACCCCGGCCCCCTCGGTTGTAATAATTTACCCTTTTTCATGAAATTACCCGATCCCCCAAACACACGCACACGCACACACACCTCGTCACAACGTTCTTGTTCGCTGCTCCAAGCTTCTGCAAGAGCGCATGCTGGCGCACGATCTCCTTGTCCAGCGCCGAAACACGGCCGAGCCAGGCAGCCACTGGGTTCGCTGCTTCTGCCTCCGCTTCGTCTTGCACGGCCGCGGACTTGAGGGTTTGCACCAGACTGCTCACAGCGCGCTGTGCTGCACCCAAGGTGTCCGGGGCGTCCTGGCCAAGAGAGTTCGAAAGCCGCAGAAGTATGTTCGCCAATGCGTTGCAGACCCCGGACTCATTAGGCAGGAATGATGCGAACATCTGTGCCAGGACGCTCTCCTTGTCCGCTTGCAGCGGTGTGGAAATACAGCTCTCGGCACAGATCTCTAACGCCTTGCATCGCAAAATGACCTGATCATAGGGAAGTAAAATTTTTAGTGTTACAAAGCATCTCTCCTGAACAACAAAATGAAAGAGTGAATGGAAATGCACTCTCACTAGCGAAACGGAAGTAGCGCAATCGACGGACCTGCTTGAAGTCCAGGTTGACTCCATCAGCATCCACGTACTTCAACTTTGACGCCTTGTCACTCGCCTGCAATTTGTAACGGTTCACTTCCGCTGGGTTGCTGAGACTTCAACATGCCCGCAAAAGGGTGTCCCATGGAGCTGCTGGCCCACGCAACCCATAGCTAGCATATGGATCAGTGGTAAATTGGAACCAAGCGACCATGATCTCTTGGCTCATATCGCAGGCCAAAACTGTGACACGCCTAAAGACCATGCACGTCTTCGATGTGTACCCACCAGTCGTGTCCACTCCTTCCAGAGCTTGACCTTGTCAGACTGCGTCTTAGCCTCACGAGCCGCGCGCTCGAAGATTGCGCACGCTTCGTTCACTCCAATGACCAGATCGTTGCTGACAGGTGGCACCAAAACAGGTGCTGGTGGTGGAGGCGCTACTGGAGCAAGTGCAGGAGCAGCTTGTGAGGGATTGGCGTTAGCAGCTGGTTTCTTGTTCTTCTTCTTCTTGTTCAGCTGCTGCTCCGCAGCTGATGCCCCTTTCAGAAGTGCGAACGCGTTGTTTATAGAGGCCATGGTGTAGAATGTAGTAAGTTCAGGTGATTTCGTGAGGAAGATGGTAATAGTTTCGTATCCAAGAGACGTTGAGAAAGGGCTTCAAGGCGGTTGCAGTGACGGTTGAAGTACAGGGTGCCGCACTGCGTCCACCCTGTCCCGTTGGATGCTGTTCCCGCAAAGAAAACAATCAAGTAAGCGAACTGTACCAAAGAATAAGGAACCACACTGATAAGGGCTTGCCCACCGGGGGACTGGCAACTTTCAAACGCTCGCAGCCTGCTGCTAAAGGCGCGCTCTTAACCGCCTGGATATGAGAAATGTGTAGCACATCGATGCTATGGAGCTGAACAGTCAAGGGGTAAATTCTGCTCAGCAAATCCGGCTTCGTGAAGGGACGATTGGCACGCCTGTGTGGTCACTTGCAGGGACCTCGCTTCGAGGATCAGGAAGGGTGGCCAACCTTGCTCCACGCGCAGCACACCTGCTTGCCAGAAGTCCTAACTCTGTCCTGCAATTGTGTGGAGGGCGAGCTACTTGGAGGCCACGCAGCTAATTCCATTAGCATTTATGTGGTAGGGGGGATGGCTCTGGGTACTTACTATTTTCCCAGATGCTCTAGTCAACGTGCCAGTAGTGCGCGTTGCGGCGCTCAGGGGCGTACTCGGTGCTGGGTTAGCGGCAAAGGGTTTGACTGCGCAGTGAGCTGCAAAGGGTTTGGGGGGTGTCTTTCCTTTGGCTTTGGGTTGCACATTGTGATGATCCCATCTGAATGAAACGCAATCAGTATTCGGGAACCCGAGCCCAACCAACCTGACTAACGGGCACGCAACCAGCCTGACCCGTCAACCGACCTTTCAACCAGCAATGCGAACCCAAACTTCACTTCTGTGCAAGGGAACCTCTCTCCGCTTGCGAGTTGCGGCCATTCAGTATTGTTCGCCGTTGTGGTCATGTGACCCTTACAAAACAGTTCACTGTTCCCACCGCAGGCCTGCCGCTGCCCTTCCTGCTTCAGTAGGACTACCAAAGTAGGACTGCCAAACCCCAGCTCCGGCAAGAAGTCGGGCATTCCCTCCGGTGGCACCCGAAGCCGGCAGGCTAACCTTGGCAGCACCAGCAGTGGCCGTGCCAAGGCCTCGGGCAGCAGCGGCGGTCAGCCCCGGTCACCACCGCCGCAGCCCGTGCCGGGGCCCCTATTCAATTTGGAGGACTGGTTCGTGCATTGCCATGCAACAGAACCCGATTGGAAGCTCCCGAATGATTTGTTGTCTCCGAAAAAGGCGGAAAAGCTGGTGAAGCGGAGCATTATGGTGCTGCAAACCATGGGAAGCACAGCCGGGAGCAGCAGTCCTGGTGGCGGCGGCGGGCAAGGGAATCAGGTACGTGCTATAGGCCACGGGATATGCAGCAGCGTTCGGCAGTTCGCGCGGAAACGGACGCATACATGCCACGAGAAGCTTTCTTCTCCAAATCCTTGTTCGGAATTATGATCTTTCAACAGCCCGGTGGGTTGCTAGTAAGGTTGTCTGCTGACATGCAGTTTAACGGAAGAATTATGAATGTTGAGATAAGACTTGGAGAAAAAGTACAATTTTTCCTCATTGCGCCATGATGTGGTGATTGCTACATGAAGTTTTCGTCGCCTGGGTATTCGGCTACGCAATGTGGGTGTTGCGTATTGTGGACCAGCCGGAATTAGCCTGTGGCACACCTACCCTGGGACCCTCAGCACTGCCTTTGCACCGAGTGCCTAGTGGCTACGTTTGGCATGCCCCCGGCCCGTCCCCCCCTTCACGTGAACGTGAACCCACGGGCACCCGATGGCACTTCTGGCCGCAGGTGTTGCTGGGGGACTGGATTGCGGCCTTTGCTATGCGGTACCGGGGCAGCGCGCGAAGCAGCCTTGTTAACCAATCCGTGCAGGTGCGTCAAGGGCCCCATGTGGGAAGATGGAGGCGCGAAGGGTGAGCCTGGGGCCAGGGCAGCACAGAGGAACACTGATAAGGATGCATGGCGGGCAGGACGAAAGCGAAGAATGGCGCATGCACGTTCGAATGTTGGAAAGAACTATCGATGCGAGGTGGTCAAAACTGTTTTCAGAGACAGCGGGGTGTACTTCCGTGCAAATAATCCACCTGGGTCACCGGCGTGTGCATGTCACAACCTTGAGATCCATGTCCAGCCGTCGATCCGGCACTGTCTCGCCGCACCTCCGGTGCTGTCGCGCCTAGCTAACCATCACAGTTTTCGTATGTTTGAAATCGTAGGATTAATTTCTCGGTTTATGTAGCGGGGCCGCGGACTGCTGTGATGTGCGCGAGACTGCGGTCGCCCACCTGGCGGCCAGTGCGCCATGACACTTGCCCTCCATCCCTGGATGGCATACCTCACTCCGCCTGCTTTGTATGCCGACCTGGGCCACTGCCCCTTCTTCGGTTTGTGGCCGCTGGGCTATCATGGCAGGTGCTGTGGTGGAATGACCCATGTGACCCTCGTCAGGACTCCAACCACCCGTTTCTGTATGGCACTTGGTACGCTGGGAAGACTTTATCCGTCAACTACAAGACGGGGCACCTAAAGGTAAGGTGACGGCAGGGTAGCATCTGCGCTTTCCGGCAATGGCAAATGTACACAGCGAACCTGCTTGAGGATGATTGAGTTTCAACACAACTCTGATACTCTGGTAGCGATTTGTATGTCCAAGTAGCGATTTGTATGTCCAAGGGCTTTCGATCCATTGCCCGCTTTACGCAAGGGTATGCGCCTGGGTCTGTTCGGTGGCTTAGATATGATGATGATGATGATGATGATGACGTGTCCAGGCTGATGTATTCTATTTGTGAGTCTGAGCCCTTACACCGGGGCGATGCAGGTCAGATATACAGATGGAGAGGAGCACGAGGTCGCTATGGGCGTCAACTTCGTGCACTTTGGCGAGAAACACCCTACAGGTAACGAACCGGCAAGGCTGCCACCGCTGCCGCCGGCTGTACAGCCATCGCAGCAGGCGGTGGAGGCGGGACTTAAGGCAGGACTGGCTGCGAGCGGTGCCGACGGTAGCAGCGGTCGCCGCCGCGGGCGTTCTACTGGCAGCAGTGGAGGCGCACGGCAAGCTGGAGGACCTGGTAGCGTGTGCAGCATTGATCCCGGCGGCCGGCAAGGCTCTGCAGTGGCATCGCTATTCATTGAGGCCACGGAGACTGGGGCGCACGGCAAAGTGCCAAAGCCTGGTGCAGTGAAGGCAGAGGCAGTGGCCGAGACAGGTGCTGTCGCTGGGTTTATTTCCAAAGCTCGTGGTGCACAGCAGAGCCGTGGTGCTGCCACTGCTGCAGGTGGTGGCAGTGGTGGTGACGGTGGCGTTGGCGGAAGTAATGCGCTGCAGGCGCCGCCTCCGTCAGGCCCATCAGCAAGGCCTAGTTTGGGAGGCGCCTGGCCACAGAAGCGTCCCAAACTGGCGACGGTAGAGACGGTGAACGGCAGCAATGCCAGCGCTGATGGTTCAGGGAGGGACAGTGTGAGTGCGCCTCAAGGAGGGGGCTGTGGTATAGCAGCCACGGGATGTGCAGGCCAGACCTCTCCCGGGGCCTTGCAAGCAATGGTCCCTAGTAAGGTAGATGCCGCTGCTCGCCGTGGTGGGCAAGCACCGGGGAAGAAGATAACACTGCGAAAAGTTGGCCAGACAACAGAGCCACTGGCTGGCGCAGCTGGCGGCAACAGTGGCAGTGGCTTGGACCAGGCGACCGCTTGTTGCGCCATCCCTGCGACAGCTGCCGCTTTAGTTGGCACAACAGTCCCCGTCGCTGCCGGGGCTGCTGGTGATTCAAAACGACTTTGTGAAACTTACAGCAGCCAGAGCAATGCGCCACCGATGAAGTCGGGTGAAGCTGTCTCGCAGTCGGCAATGCTAGGTGGTTCCCCCCTGCAGAGCGCTGCCCAGCCGCGCTCTTCACCCCTCAAGGTGCGGCCTTGGGCACCGAAAGGAAGGTCGTCAGTACCTAGCTCAGGACCCTCTTCTTGGGGCCCACCGGGACCATCAGTTGCCTCGGTACCAGGGCCTGCACACACGGTGGAGCATTCAACAATAGTGCCCACAACGGAAACTGCAACAGCAGCCTTGACAGTGCCGGCAGCAGCAACAAGCGTGCCCGGAACCTCAGCCGCACCAGCACCCTCAGCAGCAACCATCACAGTAGACGCAACAGCACCGCTTGGAAATGCACCGGAATCAGTTCAACCGACCGCTAGCACGGCACTGCCCGCGCGACCTGCAGGGCGGACGGCTTTGGGGCCTGAGGATCAGGTGCGCGCACTGCAGCCCGATTCTGAGAATTGTGCTCTGGGGAGTTCGTCGGTTTTCTTTCTTTTGGGGTTTTACATGCGACGCCTGTGCTTTGTAGGTGCTTCCGGGTAAACGTGTTGCGGCCGCTGCCTATGCTGCATCATGCAATCCGCTGATGGCAGGTGGCTCATTGTGTAAATAGGGTTCTTGTTTTTGCGGGCTCTTGCCAACCCGCAAACGAGAGGCGGGGCCACACCCCGACTCTTGGTGCCAAAATAAGTTGCAGGACGACCTGTGGTGCCCCACACCTCTTTTTGACAGAATGTAGGCTCGGGGAGGTGGTGGCGGGTGAGTGGTTGTGGCGTTTGTACCCTACGCTGCCGTTCACACTGTTTTATTACCCACTTGACACCTGCTTGAGACATTTTATGATCTGTAGCCCTCTGTAGATATGGTAATTGGTTTCAGTTGTAGCAACTAAAGCTTCCGCCTTTCCCTCATCCTGATGTGCATTACCCCGTATGCCTTTTGTAGACTCATAGGAAACCCCGGGAGCAAGCTCAGCCGCCGCTTCCGCCACATGCCGCATCGATCGCTGCAAAAGGCGAGAATGGCGGAGTGCAGTCCTCCAGCGGACGAGATGCCAAGCGGCGTCGCATTGGGTCCTTAACCTGGAACCCGCGTGCTAGCAGCAAAGGCTTCAGTGGCCCCGCACAATCCACGGCATCTCGCTCCGGGCTTGCACCTAACGATGGCACTGGGCTTTTTTTGCGGACAACGCCAGAGCAGAAGGTCAGCGCCCTGTCTGGTGCTGCAGACACTGCAGTACCGCTGGCGATGGTGACAGTCGACGAGACTTCATCGAGGACGACAGTAGCAGCAGCAGCAACAGAAGTAGTAGTTGTAGTGAGGGTTGCGCCATCGCAGTCAGGACAGCCTTCACACCAGGAGCAACACACGTCCGATGGGAAAGTTGACACCAGCATGGCGGAGTCTCCAGGAGCCGAGATGCAACCGGCGGAGGGAGTGCCTCCGGGCTCAGGTCCAGCTGGTAGGTTGCGGCTTGGTGGACATGTTGAGCTTGATTGTGGAGCCCACGAGGGGAGCACAGAGGCAGAGAGGCCGACGGACGGCGGGGTTGAGCCGAGCGGTCAGGCAGAGGCAGCTGGGGACGGCCAGGCAACGGAGGCGGTTATGGGCATCGGCGGTGGAGCCAGTAGCGCTCGATACGCAGCCTCGGGAAGTGCTGCAGGTGATGAGCCGGGTGCAGGCGGTGCTGATTCGGATGCAGGGGCTGCTCATAACGGCGGCATCCATTTGGGCATGGTAACAGAGCTGGATGAGCCGGGCAAGCAGGGGCCATTCGGGGGGCCTGCGGAGGGTCAGGAGGAAGGCGGCGCGGCAGGAGCGGCGGACGCAGGCCACCCTACAAGCGGCTGTGACGTCGTCGCTGGCGGGGTACAAGATGGTTGCGTTGCTGGGGCACCCGGCGGCGGCAGCTGCAGTGCCGATGGGACTGTCGTTGCACGGTGCAACAGTGCCCGGCGCGGCGGCAACCCCACAGTGGACATTGAGAGCCGCGGCCGCCGACCAGAACGCTTAGCAGCAGGTGGATCATCTGCTGTCGCAGTGACTGAAGCAGCGCCTGCCACGGCTACAGGGATCACGGTTCAGGCACTTACTGTCACAATGGCTATGGCTGAGGCAGCAGTTGCGGGCATCATGGAAACGGCTCAGGCCCCGGGGGGTCCTGCAGCCTCAAGGGGTAAAGAACATGTTTACGCCGCTGCATCTGAGGCGACAAGTGCCATCAGTACTGGGGAGGGCGCATGTGCTACTGCGGCCGCGGCTGGTGGTCCTGCCCTGGAAGCCAAGGCCGTCACTGCCAATCCGGCCATAGACGTGACTACCGCCCCTGGGGACATGGACATCGCTAAAGACGATGGCCATGGCTTGGAGCACACTGCATGGCAACCTGACCTGGCTCCTTGCAGCGCGGCACCGGTCAGCAGCTCGGAAGCAGCTCTGGTTGCTGGCTCAGATGGCACGATTCCTGTGCTTGTGTCAGGTTCCCACCCCTTGCAAGTGGATCCGTCACTGGGGCATGAAGGCGCAGTACTCTGCAGCGCGCTGGTGGTGGGCCCTGGTGACGATGCTACTCAGAACCAGAGCCAGAAGGTGGCGACGAAAGGCGATGTAGGCGATGGCAAAGGGGGCGCAGGAGCAGGAGCAGCAGGGCCGGAATGTGATACGGGTCGGGATGCATCTGCGGCAGGGGGTGCAGTTACAAATGCAAACTTGCGAGGGGTTGAGGCACAGGCGTTGGCGTTGGCGCCGCCGGCCAGCACGGCATCAGCAGCAGATGCTGCTAATGGTGCCATGGCGGTGGCCGGGGTAGAGGCTGCGACAGCTCCAGGGAATGAGGCCGAGGCCATGGCTTCTGGAGTAGCTTGCGGCGCTGGAAGGGGCTCAGGAGACGCCGTTGCTGCTGTTATCCCGCTTGACACCTCGGATACAGCTGTCACCCTGTCCCTGGCTCTGGGTGCTGCTGCTGATACCTCTGGCGGTGGTGGCGACGATGTCGGCGGTCACGGCAGCGGAGCCGATAGCAGCAACAAAAATGCAGCGGCAGGCATCGGTGCCGGTGGTGCTGGTGTTGGTGCTGGTAGTAGTCACGATAGGGATACCGGCATCACGGCAGAGGAGGGCGTAACCGGGTATGGAATTGGCCCTGGCAGCAGTGGTGATGGAATGGCGGCACGTGTTCCCCCCCCCAGCAGTGTAGAGGAACATGAAGCTGGCGCCGCCAGTGGCATGGACGGACACGCTGCTGTTGCTCATCGCGGCGACCGGCGGACAGGCGAGCACCTGGACCTCACGAGTGAAGCCGCACTACCTGTTGGGCCCATGGGCCGTATACCGGACGGCGCCACGATTGACACCGGCTCCGCAAATGCTGTTGACCGGATCCCATGCGCCCTGCCGCCTGAGTTGGCGCCTCCGCCGGAATTGCCCGATGCGGTTGTACAGGAGTGGCTGGCCTGGTGGTTTGTGGCAAGCTCTGTGGGCTACGCACGCCAGGCGGCACAGGTGCTGTCCTTGGCACGCCAGGCGGCGGCTGGATTGCGGGTGAGTAGGGGTGCATGGGAGCTCCGGCATTAGCAGGTAGAGGGGGTCTTTGAGGAACGCGGAAATGTTGTCTAGGGGAGAAGGGAATGGTATTCAGTGTGCGTGGAGTTGTCCGCCGGGCTGGGCGTGTTTATGGTAGTAGTTATGGTGGAGGAGGGTAAAGTTTGCGGCAGCAGCGATGTCTCTGGCGACAACACTTGCAAATAGGGCCACGCCGCATGTGAGGTTACGTTTGAGGAGGGCATGGGCGGGTAGAATGGTGTAAATTTTGGGGTGCGGGGGGAGGAGCAGGAAGCACTGGGCAACGGTGCTAAGCTAAGTTAGCGTGTATGGTCTGGGCTTGCTGCACCGTGGGCCGGCAGAACAATTACCTTCCACTGACGGCACCAGCCACTTCGCGTTTTTTCGTCCATGCAAAATTCGTTCATATTCGTTCAAAATTCGTTCATGCAAAAGTCTGTCTATCTGTCCTTGAACGTAACGTGATACACGTTCCATTGCGCAGCGCCTTGAAGCTCAATGTCGTGCTTTTGTACCCTCCTCCGCTCCACTCTCCGCCTTTCCCGCTTCCTATTCAGGTCAACTTCACAGCGATTATCGAGGACTCCTGCAGGTGCAGGAAAGGGAATGGGTGCAGCAATTGATTGCCCCTATGGCCCGCTTACGCTGGCTTGCCTGCGGTTACCATGGAAAGGTTAAGAGCTGGTCTCCCGCCCATTGTGCTTCCTGACCATTCCCATTGTGCTTTCTGACCATTCACGCACCTTCTGTAGTTCGGGTCTTGTGTGGGTCTGGTTCTCCCTTCTTTCGCCGTCGCATGCTTCCTCCCCGCACTGCCTTGCCCCGCGTCGCAGGCGCCTGGGCTGCTACCCCCTCCACTTGCGGGTGCTGCAGGTGCACTTCATTCAACACGCCTATGTCTCTTTCCACAGAGTGGCCCCAGAGCTGGGTGCCAAGGTGGGAACCAGGTTGGGGAACGGGTGCCGGGGATCCAGGGACGGATGTGTCGGCTGGATGAAAAAGATATCGGGATCTGCTGCATTACTGTAACGCCTCTCACGGCACACTAAATAAAACCAATAACGCAGCGGAGTGCCCGTGAGCTTTCAGAGGCAAGGGGCTGTACGGCAGTACGAGTCGTGCGACATATCCACATCCCGGTGCGCCTTCCGTTTCACTTCTTCCTTTACGGCACCGTCCTACTCCTTCCACCGTCCTCCCCTCTTGTTTCCACCATACACTCATCCTGCTTCCATCACCCCTCCGCAATCCCGCTGCAGTTGGCGAACCAGCTGCTAATGCTCATGAAGTTGTTTATAAACGAGGCGACGCTGGAGCAACAGGAACGGGATATGGCGGGGGCCGCCGCACCTTCGGCCACAGCAACGCTGCCGCCGGCCCAGCCGCCGGTGCTGCTGCCAAGTGGCAGCAACACTGGCGGTGGATGCGGCATTGGCGGCAGGCGCGCGACTGGGAGTGTCGGCGGGGCGAGCACAGGCGGCAGCGCGGCCGGGCCAGGCATTGCTCAGCCTGGCATGCCGCCGGCAGCGACTTCGCCACACCAGCAGCAAGAGCGCGGCCTGACTGTTGAGGAGTTTTGGCAGGTCGTCGCCATGTGTGGCTCCCACTGCGTGCAGCTGGTCATCATCGCAATGCAGTGCGAGAGGTGGGTGAGGGAGAGCGACTGGAGTTTGAAGCCGGGGTGTGCCCATCAGGCAGCCTATCGTCCTTTATTGTGCTCCAAATCGGAGAAAAGTCCTTTAGTGCTGAGCATGCCTATACTTTTAAGATTGTAAAAAACGGCCACACGGACGCTGAGATCAAATACCAGCTGTATGTAGTGCCTGCGTGCAGAAACTGAAGCAGGCTTGGAGACATGCAGTCTTGTCTATGGCTACGTTGCTGTCGTTCAAACGCATACCTCTTTACTTCTTTTCCACGTGGAAAGCTGCCCTGTAGCTGTAATGCATCAGCCTTTTGGTCTCCTGGGACTGGAGCCCTCCTCTGTCGTGCCCGCCTACCGCCTGGCGCTAAAAACGCCCGGTGCCTCTGCCAATTGTCCCGTGCAGAGCTGGCAAGCCCATTCCTAAGGAAGTTCACGACCGCCTGCCGGACTTCGCGGAGCTTCTGCGCTGGGCAGCAGCAGCCGCACCTATCCGACCGGCACCTGCGTCCTCGCCCACCGGCCAACGGCAGTTTGACATTCTGCGGCGATTTAATGTGACGGTAATCCGGATTGTGAGACGACTCCACGCAAGCGCAGAGGGAAACCAGCAGCGGGCGAGTAGTGGGTCCAGGGCTGCGGCCAGTGGCCAGTTGGGTTCATCTGGCAGTCCCGCACTGAGTGCAGTGCCCAGCGTCCCGCAGCTGCAATCGCAACTGCCATCGGATCAGGGGCACAACCAGCACCAGGTCCAACAACAATGGCAGCAACAGCACCTGCACATGCAGCTGATACGGTCGCATCAGCAGGGGTGGCTGCAACAACAGCCAACACAAGGACAGCAGCAGCAGCAACGACAAGGACAGCAGCAGGACTTACTACAACACCTGCTGCAGCGACAGCAGCGGCAACAACAGCAGCAGCAACAACACCAGCACCAGCTGCAACAGCAACTGCAACTGCAACAACAGCAGCAGCTGCAACAGCAAGTGCAACTGCAACAACAGCAGCAGCTGCAACAACTGCAACTGCAACAACAGCAGCAGCAGCTGCAGCAACAGCAGCGACAATGGCAACAACAAAAGCAGCAGCAGCTGTCGCAACATCACTTGCCGCAGCAACAGCTGTCGCAGCAGCAGGAGCTGCAGCAGCTTCAGGCCGGGGAAACTGGGGGCGGCATTCCATCAATCCCGGGCCTGTATCCAGAGCCTGCCAATGGCCCAGTCCAAGGCACACCCGAACCGTTGCATTGCGAGACCTACCCGCAGCAACTAACACAAGGGCCGGCGGATCAGCGGTGGCACAGCCCTGGAAGGACCATCCAGGGCTGGCGCATCGGCGTGCGCCAGCTGTACATGCAGTTGAAACGCGCTGGCAGCCGTCGAGAACCCTCTGCCATCTCCAGTTCCGGTTCTGACTCTGAATCCCAGCATGCATCCGATGCGACCGGCTCGGTGGGCCCCCCAGCCGGTCTCACACCTGCCTCCGGCTCCTATAAGCTCGAGGGCTATGTGTGTCAACAGCCCCTAGCAGAGCAGCAGCAGCAACAGCAACAGCAGCAGCAGCACCCGCTGGCAATCGCTTCTGCAGTAGTGGATGAGGGAGGAGGCACAGATGAGCAAGCCGCAGCACACCTAGGCCATGCCGGAGGTGGCGACCGAAGGGAAGGTCCCTCCGGTAGCTCCCTCCAGAAGCCCGCCATTCCCATGGCCACCGCCGCAGGTGCCGATGGGGCCGTAGCTGCGCCTGCCGGCGCCTCGCCTTGGCGGAAATGCACCGCCCTGCGTATTGACGCTGGTGTATTGCGGGCGACCCGATGTGCCATTTTCTTCGGTAGCAAATGGCTGGACGAGGCTTGCACTGCTGCTGCTGCCGTGACTGCCGGCTGTGCCAGACAGGGCACTGCTGGGCCCCAGCAGCACTGCTTGGAGCCAGGGCCCCCTTCTGTACCCGTGCAGGCTCTGGAACCTGCACCGGTCGCCAAGGCCTTGGCAACAGAGGTAGCAGCAGCAGCAGCAGCAGCAACAACAGGAGGAGATCAGATTGTCGGGTTGCGGCTTCCTCATACCAACCCAGTGGCTTGTCGTGCGGATGGGGACACAACTGGGGTTGCGGGTGCAGCTGCGGCGGCTGTTGGTGCTGCGGACGCAGAAGTGGCGGGCGCGGGTGCTGGGGTGGAGGACGTTGCCGACGCTACGGTGCTACCTGACCCGGCGGCGGTGCCCTGCATGGGTGCTGGCTGGCTGGATACCAGCGTGCGGGCGCTCATCACTCGCCACGTGCGAGCGCATCGGCCATCACCGGGATCAGGACAGGAGGAGGGAACAAGGCAGCCCGCATCTGCCGCTGCCGACACTGCTGCCGGCGGATGCATTACCCCGTGTCCCGACACTGGCATCGCATCGGCAACTGCGCCATCAACGTCGGTGGCGAGGACAGCTGAGGAGGGCGAAAAGGAGGACCGCGCCACTGGCTGCGCTAAGAGGCTGGGACGGGTCATGGCTGCCTGGGGTGCTTTGCCGCCAGCTCAACAGCGTGCTCTGTACCTTGTCTCCTGCCGAATGGCTAGGGACCTGAACGGGGTGGGCAATTGGTGGGCCGTGGAGATGGCAGTGGAGACCCTGGAGACCCTGGCAGAGGCGGCGGAGAAGCGCCGGGTAATCCCAGACGTGGAGAGTGCTGGATGTGCAGATGGGGCTGGTGGAGTTGAACCAACGCACTAGCTGTCGCTGCTGCTCCTCTGGCTGCTTCCCAGTAGAGGGCCCACTTCCGGGGCCACTTCAGGAAGTATGCGCCCGGGGGTTACGGTGCTGCGTCTTGAGGGCGCGGTTCGGCTGCTGGTGCGGAGTGCACCGAATCACTTGGCGGAAGGGAGATTGGGAGATTGAGATTGGCGGAAACTCGATGCGCCTCTCCGTCTTTCGGTGTGCTGCTCAAAGGCAGGTAACGGATGATTGTGGGCAGATTAGCGGAGTAATGCATGAGGAGGGATAGAGTATTGGGGGGCTGGCCCCATGGCTTTATTGAAAGGTTGCTTGTTTCATGCAATCTTCACCGCCATTTATATAATTTGTATCAGATCTCAGGTCACGTGCTGGGACGCGCGTGGCCATGGAGCAACGCGGGTGATACACGTCCCCTGTCATCCGGCAGCCGGTGTGCGGTCTAGGGTCATTGACATGAATGCGACCCTCCCAACCGTTCACGCGGACGTAATAAGCAATAGCTGCCTTCCACTGGGCTATCCCCGGCGGGAGCATCGTACCAACGCTCTGGCTCGCCGTACCTTTCCTCGCCGGTTACTTCTGTCTGCGCACGGTGGATCGAGTCCCCCACCAGGACACCCTCGTGGCTCCGCACCGTATGCACATGTGGAGTTGATGATAGATGAATGTAACGTGTTTGTACAGATACTTTTTTACGAGTGTGGGTGTGCGTATTGTGAAGAACGGCAGCGGAGGTTTGCCGTGAGAGGGTTGTGTTGGACGATGTTGTCTACATACAGAACACAGGAAAAGTGCGTTGAAGGAAGGCCCAAGCCTGCCGTGGCCGTGTCCTCATTGCAGGCAGGGTTGTTGTAGTCCCACGGAGAAGCTGTGTGTCAGGACCTTCTGAAGGATGTTGGCCTTCAGGGGGAAGGAAGTTTCATTCTCTTCGTCATGTAAGTGTGCCTTAGCACGCATCCGTGTCAGGTAGTGGTATGTCTCTTGACGTGTTGGAACCTATATTGGACAGGGCAATGCGGTGGCGCCAAATCTTGGGGCGAGATGGGAATGATTTCAGGCGAATGGCGCGACAGCTGTGTCTCTACCTTGTTGCTGTTAATGTGTTCATGAGCAGGTGACACGCGGCGAGGCCGACCGGACACAACTTAGGGAGACAGTTAACTGCATAGGCATTTAAGCATTTACAGCCATTTACAACCATTTAGCCATGTTTCGCTCGGGTTCGGATAGATACCGTGTATAAACACGGCGCTTTGTGTCTATGGCCATTTTTGGTTGTCCAAGCTGACCGAGGGTTCCCCTTTACACGCGACTTGTGAGCTGTCCTTTTAGAGACAGTTCGACGACCATAGCGAATTTGTGCGATACGTTCTGCGCTCTAAAGGACGGAAGGGGCGACTACCTTTAATGGCTGTGTCAGGTAAGATTGCATGATGGTGTAGGGAACCTGTCGATCAGTCCTGGTTGCGAAGGCCTGATTGCAAATCTGTATTGCGCTATTATGGAGGTGGTGATGAGGGTACGTTGCCATACAGGATGTATAGTTATCACCCTTCAATGCTCCTGTGTTTCAATGCACTACCGGATGCTGCCGTCGCATATTTTTCCTTTTGCCAACAAATACAGCCAACGCCGTATTGATGCGGCCATCCCGCAAATTAACATCAAGTTCGCCTTTCACTTTTGGAATTTGCCAACCTGCAGAATTTATGCAGAAGCTTTAGGATGGTGTGCATCAGACTGCGCTGCTCTTCAGCACACTGCTCAAATGGGAATTGGGCTATAGGGCTGTTGCCCGGCTACGTAGGCAGGGACAGCATTTTTGGTGCTACCCCCCTGGCCTACAGAGGTTGCGTGGCGACACCTGTTTTGCATACCTGCTAGTTTGGGAAATGTCGCAACATATACCATGTATATGGTACTGCTCCTAAGCCATTCCGTCCTTGCGAACTTTTCCCCAACACATCCAACACGTCCTTTTCCACCCATGAAATCCTCGACCATACTTCCCCAAATCAAGAAAAAAATGCCTTCTAAATCTCGGGTAGTGACGAACAGGAAAAGCAAATGCGAATTTGCCACACCTATGGCATAGATAACGGTATGGTACAGCACATGGCTAAGGAAAAGAATACCCCCGCGAACTCCTCATAAAACATTGTCCCACATTCTTCTGCAATGCAAAATTTCCTACGTCTCCCAACCTCCCGCATGCATCTATCGGTCCAGTAGAGCATCTAGGCAACAGCGTCCCTATCTACAGTTTGTACAAATTTATTGGAACATACCAGATCAAGCCCGGGCATCAGACGCACAAGTAGTACGAAACGAAATTCAAAACTCCTGAAGGACGGACTGAAGAGCTACAGCATCACACCGCGAAAACCAGCACTGTGTGCCCGGCGTTTCTCGCACCGCAAGGAACTCAGGGAGATCAGCCGACGCACCTCCTCTTCGGGCCCGCTGGCATGAAGGGTCCCCAAAGGGTGGATAATCCGCCAACATCACCAAAAATGATCCGCCAACATTGAGGTTACATCGCACCAAATCAACTCAATGCTTCGGCTCCCAATGCTTCGGGTCTCAATGCTGCGTTGCTCCGTACAAGCTCAGTGATTGTCCGCATGCGAGTACTCAACTTTGTGCATCATCTGCTCGAGCTTGGTCGTCACCAGCACCACCCCCGCCGCCACAGCCGCCACCACCAGCAGCCCCAGCCCCTCCCACGAGCCCACCAGCCAGCCAGCCGCGTGAAGCACCACGGGGACAACACCGTTACTGGCTGAGGAGGAAGAGGAAGCAGCAATGGCGGGGGCCGCCGCCGCTGCAGCCGCGGCTGCGCTGGCCGCTGCGCTGGCCGCAGCTTTAGCCACCACGCCCCCGAACGCCAGGGCCGCCGCCGCCAGCCCCACCGCCAGCGCCACTGCACGCGCCAGCTGCAGCCGCTTCAGCGCGTTCAGGCAGATGGTGCAGTGGCGGGTGTGGGTGTTCCACACATCGAACATGGCTTCGCGGTCTATGCTGGCTGACGACGTTGAAGAGAGGAGCGGCGGTGTGCCTAGAGCGGGAAAGAGGGGGACAGTTTAACCATCGGGGCGCTGTCATCAACAGCAGTACCGCAGTACCGCAGTACCGCAAAAATAACATAATGCAAGGAAAGGAAACCCAATCCGGCAACACCGGCCCGCAGTGAATACACACAAGCATATATCCAGACAGACACGAATATGAATATCAAACGCAGACCGGCCCAGAGTCCTCTCCGATCTCGGCATAGATACACGCGCCGTACAGCCTGTACGGTAAGTCCCTTTATGCAATCGCCATGACGGTATCCCTCCCGGTCAACGACAACCTTGACTGGCCCGGACTGGTGGCTTGACTTCACGACTCACCTGGGGCGTACGACACATCGCCGCCGCCGTACGTGGACAGCCAGTCGTACCAGGCATTGACGCCCCTGTCCGCGGGAGGGTTCGACTTGTGTCGTTTGCGAATGCAAGTGAAGGTGTGCGGTGAAGTGAAGGTGTGCGGTGGAGGTCCGGGCGCTGATGTACATAGAAGACGCAAGGACCGCAAGGCGCACAGTACCCGGGGGGGGAAGACACGCGAGGTCCGGGGGAATTTACACACATACACACACACTCCCGTGCACTCGCACCTGTCAGCCTGACCGGGCATGAAGTACTTGGGTCGGGGCTGGGTGCCGCTCCCTTCCGTCCCCTCCCGTTGCCGCTCCTGCAGCTGCCGGCCCACAGTCCTCTCCTGGATGTGCAGAAACACGGAGTCCTGACCAGAGGCGGGGGCGAGGGGGTGCGGGGTGGGGGGATGAGGGGTGAGGCCGGGGGGCTGAGAGGTAAGGGCGGGTACCAGATGACAAGGGGAGACATCTTGTGGCACAACCGTACATAATACATATTTACGTACACAGGTCCGTGCCACATCCATTAGTTGATGTCACCTAGGCACCGGGTCCTCCCCCCTCAACAGCACTGCACGGTGGAGTGCGGAGAGAGAGAGAATGTGTGTGAGTGTGTGTGTGAGTGCGAGAGTGAGTGTGAGCGTGAGTGTGTGAGGGCGAGAGAAAACCGATACCGTGCTGCGCCGGATGGGACAGCAAGTAAGGGGCAAGCACCGTGCCATATCACACCGCGCAGAGTGACCCGTTTCCAGGAGGGAGGTCCAGGAGGTATTGCACTGGCGAGTTAAGCAGCTCCCCTCCCGCCCTCTGACACCCTGCACCCGGTGAGCAGTAGTCTCTAGCAGTGTCCAAGATGCCGGGCTGGGTGGGTGGGTGGGGGGAGGTTGCTACGTGCACAAAAGACAACAAAGGGTCGACTGCGGACGTCCAGGGGCTACCCAGGGTAGCTACTACCCAGGTGCTAGGTGGACGGGCCATAGGCAGTGATTATTTTTTCATTTAGGGGGGGTCTCAATTTATTCCGACCTAAGTAACAAGTTGCTAGGGTCGCCGAAATGTATTCCCTAAGTGTGGGGTCCCTGGACAGAAATGGTGTACTTTACATGACATGTGTAGCCCTACACACACACGACGACGACGAAAACGTCCCGCCTTCCGGGTGCGACACTGAACCGGTTGGGCAGTTGAGGTTTTGCAACTCGCATCTCCTCCTCCTCCTCCCCCTCCTCGATGCTCTCCTGGCCGCCCACCACCCCCCAATGCTGTCCGCTGCCATTACTGCACATCACCACCACCCCCACCCCCACCACAGGCAGTTGAGGTTTGCGACGTGTCTTCCATTCGGAGCCCCCCACGCCCTCACCCCGCCGCCCGCACTCCCCCCTCCCCTCCCCTCCCCTCCCCGGCCCCCACCTGTTTTAGGAACAGCGGCGCCATCACATGGCCCAGCCACTGAGGCACGGCGGAACCCACGAAGCCCACCGCGCTGTTGGCACGAGCTGCGTGGTTGGGGGCCTCCACCATTATCTGAAACACACAGGACAAGTTGCACAGCAGGTTGGCCCCCCCACCCCGGCGGGAGCAGGAGGGGACGGAACATTTGCTTGTTGAGGGAGGGGGCCCGCGGGGAAATACGGCAGGGGGCCCTAGGCTGCGCCCCGACCCACAATCACTGTCTCCTGAGTCCAAGACCCGAACATGAGTACACCATACACACACGTACACACACATAAACCACTCATTCCTCCCGCATCTCTCTCCCTCCCTCCTGCTCCCCTCACCTCCCCTCACCCCCCCCACCCACCTGCTGCCCCACCAGCCGTGTCCATCCGGGCCTTAGGGGGGTGCTGAACAACACAAGAACAGTAAGGCTGCCGTTCTTGTTCAGCTGCTCAATCCTGACGGCCGGGGATAAAAAGGGGAGGGAAGATGAGGGGGCGACAGGGCGGGATGGCGGGGTTAGGTGTGGGAGGGTAACTTGCTATCCCCCGGGTTATTGGGGGAATTAGCCTCTCCTCCCCCGCCCCCGCCCCCTTCCACTCTCAGTGTCCCGAACCCGGTTTGTTTGCCCCCGGTGCCGTCTCTCTCTCCCCCGCCATCTCTTCCTCGTCTCTTCCTCCCCAACCTCCTCTGCCTCTACCGCCCTGGCACCCCCCCACTCACCTCACCAGTCCCGGGGGCACGAACTCCGTGGTAGCGTCTGACATGTCCTTTCGAAGGGGTTCGGGGAGCTGGATCTGCAGTACGGCGGACGCAGTACGCGCGGGGGTTGTGTGTTAGCTGGCGGTTGGGAGGGGCCCTGGAGAGGGCGCTGTGTACGGCGCACTTCGCACAGTGATGCACGTCAGCGTTGGGGCTGAGGGACGCGAAGGGGGTTTGTTAGTTCGTTGTGAAAGGTGCGCGGTGCGACCGGGGAGTCCACGTCCAGGCACAAGGGGGAGCTGTGCGAACGAGTTGTTAACGGCGGAGACATGGAGGGAGGGAGGGGAGTCCGGGAGGGGAAAGGGTGGGGGTCGGTTGCTCCCCCGCTTTGCTCCCCCTCCCTCCTGCCGTGACCCTTTCACCATCCGGTCCGCAGCTGCAGAGCCGTCAACACATCGGATCACATCACCTCACAACCATACATACATACAACCACACACACACACCTGCATATATGCAGCGAGCTCTGCCTGCCGGGGTGGTTAAGGGGTTCTAAGAATTAGTTAGACGGCCGGCCCCGTTCCAACCAGATAACGCTACAGATGATGGCGACACAGCCCCACTACCCACTGCCACACACCTTGAAGCCTCCCTCCCTGGACACAGGCCGTGTGAGGTTGACTCGGAGGGGCCGGGGGTCCTTGTAGCGATCACCTGAAGGCAGGGCGGGAGGGAGGCGGAGGTGCATGTGTGCGTGTGTGCATGTGTGCGCGCTTCCTGTCGAGGATGTAAGCCTACATAGGCGCTGGGGGGAGGAGAGCTGTTGAAGGAGACGGCGGGGGAATATGGGGTGAATCCGGGCGGACGAAGTAGGATCTGAATCTGGATCTGGATTTGGATCCTGTTTGTGTGCTCAATTTGCCGGCTCTCCCTCCGTCGACCCGTGTAACCACCACCTCCTTCCCAACCCGACTTTCCAACCCCCCGAATCACCACCCTAGCCCCACTAAAGAAACCCCTCTTCTCTCTCTCTCACGCACACATACACACACTGCCCCTTCCCCCCTCCCCCCCTTCCTCCCTCCCTCCCTCCCTCCAACCTGCAATGTTGTGGTGGCTGACCGGCACGTGAGCTGGGTCGACAACTGGAGGTGCGGGCGGAGGATGTGGTGGTGGTGGAGATATTCACCAAGGGGGGGGCCGAGGAAGAGAAGGGCGAGGAAGGGGGCAACACGGGGAGGGTTACTAAGGTGGACAGGACCTGGCGGTGGTGATAGTGGTGGTGGTGGTGTCGTCTGTGGTGACGAGGTGTGTGGCGATGCAGGGTGGCTACTGTCCAGGGCTGTGCTGTGGGAGCTGGCGGGGGTGGGTGACGTAACGGGCCTCAGAGGCCCTCGCGGCCCCGGAGGCCCTCGCGGGGCTGCACTGGCCCCCCAACTGAGCCCCAACAGGAGCCCCGACCCACACACCCGCCAGCTGATCACCCTCTCGGACATCGCCCTCGCCCTCTCGCTAATGACTAGCAGGACCATAACTTCCACCGTCGGTTGTACGGTGGATTCAACTTTCGATATACATATAGTCCATGGCCCCCAGTCAGGCTTTGACGGAACCCCCCCCACTCGTGCGGCACTTGTAACTTGTAACTTGCTAATGCACATACTAACAACGCGACATGCACGCACGCACACATACATTCCGCAGCTCAGACCGTTAACCCACTCACATACACACATGCTCACGTCCCCCCCTGTTACCCCAGACCGCCCCTCCACCCACCAGGTCCATGGTCCCGCACGCGACAAAGGGCCCCGCTCACCGTTTTCAATGAAGAACGTGTGGCCGTACGGCAGGTCCCTATGCGACCAACCAATTTGAGTGGCACCGGGGATGGGTCGGCCGTCATCCTGACCAGCCAGGGCGGGGCAGGCACCCCCGAGGGCGGGGGGAGATGACGTGTCAGAGGGGGGTGCGCGGAGGAATAGCTGGGGAAGCAACGAAACACACACACAGGGGGTTCTCATGTTAGATGCATTGGGACGGAGAGGAGGAGGAGCAGGAGGAAGAGGAGGCCGTCCGGAGCTTCGAAATGGGTGACACGGCCATACGAGACCCCTCCCCCCACCCCACCCCCGCCCTCCTCCGCCCGTACCTGCACCTCCGGCGGCACCGGCGGCTGCTTGGCTGCCGCCGCCTCCTCCGCCCCCGGGCCCCCCTGTGCCCACACCCACAGCAGGCCCCCCCGCTCCAGGGCGGGGTACGACACGGCGCAGCTGCGCGGGTTGCGGCGACCTGGGTCGTCGGGACTGCGTGGTTTGGCGGGGGAAGGGGGAAACCCGGGAATGGGGGAAAGTCAGGGGAGAAGCAAGCTCCCGGTATTGGGATACAACATAGATCGTAAAGAGATTTTGACGACATTTACTTCAAACGTAGAACGCCACACACATACACACATACACACACACACACACGCACCTGCAGAATGGCATTGCCGTACAAGCCCCCGATCCGTCGAACCTCCATGCATGGTAGGCGCACAGCAGGGTGCCGTCCTTCTCAATGCGGCCCTCGGACAGCGGGGCTAGCCTGCGGAGGGGGGAAAGAGGGAGGGGAGGGAGGGGGCGCGGAGGGGGGGGAGGGAGGAGAGGGTTGGCAACTACACCGCGTACGGGGAGGAAAGAAGAGACAGAACGAGCTGGAAAAAGGATGGTGGGAAGCAGGAGGATAGAAACAGCCCAGGGAAGGCCTTTTCGGCATGTGGGTCGCAGCCCCAGTCGGGGGAATGAATGAGGAAAAGCCAGGATTCACTACAGAATGGCCAGCCATCAATCCCCCGTGCCCTCCTCCCCCCTCTTCCCCCGCCCCCTCACGTACCTGTGCGGACACGCGTCCTTGAACGCCCTCCACCGGCCGGAGCCATCCCGCCACAACACGAGATCCTGGCCCTGAGGGGGGTAGGCGGGGGAGGGGGAAATGAGGGAGGGGGGGAGGGGGCCCACCGTGGGGCAATAGGGAGAGTGAAAAGAAGGCGCACCACGGTGGCGTTGCGGTGCAGGTGGGGATTGGTATGCTGGTGGGGATTGGTATGCTGGTGGGGATTGGTATGCTGGTGGGGATTGGTATGCTGGTGGGGATTGGTATGCTGGTGGGGATTGGTATGCTGGTGGGGATTGGTATGCTGGTGGGCAGCAGGAGGGGTTGGGTAAGTCTTCACGGTCTTCTGTACGGGCCGTACCAGGAGGGTGAAGGCGTGCGGCCTGGTGGGGTCGAGTGCGTCCAGGGCGGCCACCGGGTACCACTGCTGGAACCAGTTGAACTGGCGCTGATCCGACTCGCGCTCCGTGTCGCTGAGCTGCTCGCGGGACAGCATCGCCTCGGGTACATCGCGATGGACTGAGGGACTGATCTGGGAGTCCCTGATCTGGGAGTCTTCGCGAGACAGCAAGCCCTCTGGAACAAACCGAGTCGCGACCGACGAGCTGATAGCGACAGGGCCTTCGTCTTCACGCGAGAGGAAACCTTCAGGAATCTTGGATGCGGCGTTGCTCATCGAGCAGGCATCATCCTCCAGCGACAGCAGGCCCTCCGCAATTGTACGTGTCTCGGTGGGCGTTAAACAGCGCAACGCCGTGTTGCCTACGTTCACAGTTTTAAATAACCTTGTAGGGCTGTCAACCAGCACCGTTTGTATCTGTGAAACGCCCAGTCGCGGCAGCCTGGTTGCCACTTGCAAACGGAGTTGAATTGCATTTCGCACCCCCGGAACCCGCTCCGCAACAAATACACGCATTATGATTCACCCTTGTCGACTGCAAATACTACACCAAACGGAAATAGTTATGGACAGGTGACCAGGGAACGCCGAGCGAAAGCGCAAGATTGAAAGAATCAGGAAACAAAGAAAGCCAAAGGACTGTATACAGGTGCGCTGTCTACTTCTTGCTTTATGTAAGAAGGGGCCCTAACGTGCGTGTTAGGACAACTACTGTTCCTTTCCTCCAACTAGAGGTCTATGGCTGGGACACGGAACTGTCGTGGCGCAATTTCGGCCTACGCGAATACGCGTATACGAATTGTAAGGGATGCGTATCAGTGGTATATTATAAGTAAGAACGTATGACTTATCACGGTTATAAGATGCCTCGAGCATTACAAACCACGCATATCGCATTTGTCGCTGTCCAACGGTCTGTGGTTCCAGCGTCTTGTCTTTCGCTACGCATCACTGCATTCGCGACTTCGTGGAATTTTATAAAGTTCAAGTAAAGGACTTTACGAGTAAATCAAACCTTGCAGAAATACTGCTCTGTTGTCAACTGCTTTGATGGCAGTTGACCAATTTCTGACGGTTGGGCTCTTGACTCGTTTGGGACATACAAGCTCTTAACAAAGAAGCGTCATAATCATCATGCTGGCTGATGCCACCTGAACACGCTGGACCCTCGTAGGACCGGCAAACCAAGTCCACAAGGGCATTGAATCGCAACCTCTGCACTCGCGCTTCGGGTTTATCAAATTCCAATTCCCTTGCGAACTTCCCGCGGCCTGTGCCTGAGAAAAAGAGTCCTTCACCACTTTCCTAACCGCCTCTCGACAAAGATGGTTTGCTTCCACCACCGCACTGTCAGCCAAATGCCGTGCACCGCCGGGGCGGCAGTGGAGAGTGGACAACCGGCGCTGCCTGCCCCCACGGCAGCCACACCAACAACAGCGCCATTAAAAACGACTGCTACACCTTGCGGCTCCGTTTTCCCGCTCCCCCAGGCGCCTCCGCCTCCCCCCCCTCTCCCGCCCCCTGGCCTGGGGCACCGGCCTTGGGTCGCCTGGAGCCCCGCTTGCCGCCCGACCCTAAACCCGACTCCGATCCGGCGGAGGGGCCTTTGGGGCTCAGCCGGGCACACCACTCGTCCAGGACGAGGCCGTACAGATGCCGGTACTTCCGTACGCCTTCCAGCGCCTGAGCGCCCGCAGGCCCTCCTAAACCGAACGTGGGCAGGTGTGGGGCATGTGGGACAAGGATGGACACCAAAGGTGGCAGTTTAACTGATGAAAATTAGGATATGTGTCCCGAAAGGATATGTGTGTGTGTATGCTTGCGTACTGTCGTCCAGGCCAATATTAATGAAGGCCATTACCAATTGAGTTAGCTTGAAAACAATTAAAACAGTGCACAGCTTTGTGCGACAGAGGCGAAAAGACCGCTCACCAGAGCGCGTGATAAGTACGAGAATAAGGGGGGGTTAGGGAAGTACGGCAAACGGGTATGTACGATATATTATGTTTGCTGTAGGCAAGGGAGTGCTGTAGGCAACGAACCCTCGTTCGCTTGTGATGCACATACATGGTAGGTAAAGTGCGCAGTGGAGCTGTATCCTCTAAAAGGAACACAAAGGATTCACGCGGAAGCTGCACGTGAGGCCAATAATGATGTAATACTTTGCATGTACGTGGTTGGGAGTCTGGACGGGTCGGGGTGGCGGGGTGAGGCCAGCCAGTCGCTCACCGCAGGAGGCCCCTGCGTCCCCACCTCCACGCCGCCCTCCCGCCGCCAGACGTCTGGAAGCTTCCACCACCTCCCGCCTCAACAACGTCCTGCGGCAGCGCCAACAGCGCCAACAGCGGCACACCGTCACAAAAAGCACTACCGTATTTATTACGGGTTTAGGTTAGGTGCAACACACACATAGATATGTACGGTACATATTACATATATATAGAGAGGGACATGTAGGGGGGGTAACGTACGGTGGCCACCACTGCCAAGGCAAGCAGCACCGGTACACGCAGCAGCAGTAGCAGCAGCAGCAGCTGGGGAGGGGGGAAAGACGAACCACGAGCGAGTGAAGCTGCCGCCAAGGAAAGAGAAGCAGAGCTGACCAGTCGGCGGATTGAAGGAGCTGACCTCGAGATGATGACGACCGCGGAAACCTACCTACCTACCTAGCCGCCAAGACTAAAATAAGAGCGGAAGAAAAGCAGGAGGGGGGAGGGCCAGGGGGGCGGCGAACACAACGACCGACCAGACCGGCCCCTCTGTCCCACATGCCATCAGGGCACGTCCTGCACACAGCATGTGTGCCGCGCCCCCACCCTACAACACCGCCTATCACAGTATTGGGAAACCTAACAGGCTAACCTAACAGGTGAGGAAAGGACCCTGTGCTACCTGCCGGCCCTGGCGACCTGCCCATCACGGGGCATATCCCGCAGCCGCATCACCGCCTGGCGGGCGGCGGCGAGCAGCCGGGCGCCGGCGCCGGGGGTGTCAGCTGCGCCGTCCCCCCCCGGGCAACCCCCCGCAGTCGCTGACATGAACCCAGACGCCGCCGCCACCACCACCTCCGCCGCGCTATCAGCTCTGGCGGCTGCGATTGCTGCATGCGCCGCCACCAGTGCTGACGGGGCATGCAGCGGTACTCCAGCCGGGGCGGGTCGACCCGGCACTTGCGGCGCATCCAATGGCGGCCGCTGCTGCTGCTGCTGCTGCTGTTGTTCCTGTGTGGCCCCTTCCAGCCCCGCCAGCCGCCGCAGCTCCCCCCACAAATCTGTGCACCCCGTCTTCCCGGCCCCCTGCACTGTCCCCCCCAACCCAAGCCCCCCCTCCGTCATGTGCAGCAGGTGGAGTGCGGCCCTGACCAGCGCATGACCCCGACCACCTGAGGGGGTGGTGATGGACGCGGGAAGTGGGGGAGGAAGGGCCGGATGGAGAGGGCGCCGGTAAGAGAGCCTATGCCATGCAGCCTGACGTGTGAACGGCAATCCAAGTGCGTTAATGACAGGGCCGTACAGCTCAATAACCCGCACGGAGCCCCTCCCACCCCCGTCCCAGTTGCACCCACCATCGCCCACCCACCCGGCGGCCCCCACATGCGACCCACCTGGCCCTAGGTAGTGCTGGCAGCCCAGCCCCAGTCCAGCAGCCAGGCCCAGCTTGACCCTCCGCAACGAGTCCTCAGGTCCGGGAAGCAGCTCCAGGGAATGAGACACACAGCCAATGGCACCTGCCATGTCCACACCTTCCGCCTCCATCACCTCCACTCCAGCCGCCGCCGCCGCCGCCGCCGTCGTCGCCGCCGCGCTATGAAACGCCGCCAGCGGCTCGGGGCCGTACCGTGCCATGAGACTGTCCACATCGCCATTGCCGCCGCCGCCGCTGCTGGTGGTGGTGGCGGGGAGGCAGCTCAGCAGGCAGCCCGGGTGCATCATGAGGCCGGCGGGTAGCGGGCAAGTGGACCGCACCACCACCTGAGGTACGGACTGCGGTGGCGGCCCCAGGCAGCTGCTGCTGCCGCTGGCAGCCGCCCTTAGAGCTGGGCCTGACGGGGCGGAAGGCGAACTGGGTGCGTAGCAGCAGCCGGCGGCGGCGGAGGAGGAGGGCGCGGGTGCTGCGGGGGGCAATGGTGGTGGATGGCCGGCTGGGCCAGCCGCTGGATGTTGCGGGCAGCGGCCGTCCGGGTGCACCACCTCCAGGCGGAGAGCAGTAGCGCATAGCTCCTAAGGTGTTAGGTGTG